TTCATCACTGACGAAAAATCAAATAAGTTTTTGTTGAATAAGGGACTTACCTCACTTCTCCACATAACCAGCAGCTCGATCCAAGCAGGTCTGATACTGAGACTAAGAGAACAGCTTTTGGATGCCACGCGCGTAGAAGTCTTTCAGCTGATCGGGGATGAAAGAGTGGACGGCTTGTTTGACCTCTTCCACTGATTCAAAATTAACTCCCCCGAGTTCAGATTTCAGAAACGGGAATGAATGGTGGTCCGGTTTGCCATTTAGTATCGTATCTCAAATATGAACTCGGAGGAGTTAATTCTGAATCAGTGGAAGAGGTCAAACAAGCCGTCCACTCTTTCATCCCCGGTCAGCTGAAAGACTTCTACGCGCGTGGCATCCAATAGCTGTTCTCTTAGTCTCAGTATCAGACCTGCTTGGATCGAGCTGGTTATGTGGAGAAGTGAGGTAAGTCCTTTATTCTACAAAAACTTCTTTAATTTTTCGTCAGTGATGAACGACTGAGGCTTTGGCAGAGAAGCTCTTCTCCTGTCGCGGACTTCAAATCCCGCGGATTCGGCGGGAGCGTCGAGCGCCTCGGCGCGTTCAAACGGCTCGCGTTCGGCCGCATATAGTCCGATTTTGTTGCGGTTTGTTTTGTTGAACTCAGTATATCCTAAGGAAGATTTTGAGCCCAAGTTTTTTTAAAATTGGTCCATTTTTATTGATTTTAGAGAGGGGGGATACTTACTTATTGAACGCCCCTCGTATTATACAGAGGGGTCAATCAATGTTCAGCAAAATAAAATTTGAACTTAGAGACAGGAAAACCCATGAAAGGAAGAAAAAATTAGGCAAAAACTGGTGTTATAAACTCACGGTTTCAATTTCCGAGAGAGTCGCAGCCGTCGAAGTACATTAACGAAGATTATATAGGATGCTTACGGATGCGTAAGGAAGGGATTTAAATATTTAGAGGCGGGAGGGGAGACGGGCCCACTATTCTCAGACTTCGCGCGATTAGGAAAATGGACATCGGACGTTTTCGCACAAATCGATTCAATCAAACAACCAGTCCACAGATCTCGTTTTCGACAGTCCCTGGCCCTATCGCAAGCGGCAATTATTCAATCACGGTTGTCGTGATACTGCATACTCTCAATTGAGGACACCGCACCAAGAACAGCCTATAACTTGAAACCGCGTTTTGAGAAAAACGCATTTAAAGTTTTGTTTTTGATGTACTGCGCAGACTTTTCTATGCAGGTACCCTGTTTTGGTGTTTTTGGGTGACCTAACCCTTCTATTGAAGGATGCTGGGTAGATTTTGCGATACATTTTGGGTTTACACTCTAATATATTTAATTTAAAAAAGCGGTTTATAGGCCATTATTACGCCAAACAGTCATTTTGGTGGCAATATGAAGTATAAATCATTTTAATCACGCATGATTAACGCAAAATGAAAGAATATCGATAGTGAGTAAAGAAGGGGGTAACTAGCACCTTATAGGCTCTTAAGTTTATAGGCCCGCTTATAGGTCGTTCTTGCACCCATCGATCCAGTGGCCTAACTGAACTAGGAAAAAAAAAGGTTTTTCGACCGCGAGCCGTTACCTATCTATATTCTATCGCTACCACAGCATAGTCCAGGGTGCGTAGCATCCGAAAAGCAGATGGGCGTAATAACAACCTATATACGCCTATAGGCTGTTCTTGGTGCGGTGTTCTCAATTGTAATCTTCCGTCGCATTTCTAAGGCGCAATGATACAACTATTTGAACTCTCCGGAATGCGTGAGGTATCACGCCGCATTTGAAGGCGTTTTCAAAACAGCCAAGTTCCGATATCCGGATTATGGTTTTGCATAGTTCCTATTATTATGTTTTATTTCCTACCATTTGTTTGTTTTCAATCCTCCTATAAAAACTACTCATTTGCGAAATACACTTCTGGCTGGAGCGCATTTTAGCTATGCATTCGCCACTGCAAAAATGTCAAAGGAAATCGACAAAGCCAGCGTGCAAAAGGCTATTTCGATTGTAAACTTCCGTCGCATTTCTAAGGCGCAATGATACAACTATTTGAATTCTCCGGAATGCGTGAGGTATCACGCCGCATTTGAAGGCGTTTTCAAAACAGCCAAGTTCCGATATCCGGATTATGGTTTTGCATAGCTCCTATTATTATGTTTTATTTCCTACCATTTGTTTGTTTATTATAACGACCTATACGCCTATAGGCTGTTCTTGGTGCGGTATCCTCAATTTTGAAGGCAAATTTTACGCGCGCGCGTATCTTTGCTCGTCTCCGGTCTCTCATCATCAGTCATCAGATGTCTGAGTCATTCAGAAGTCTGAATCATACAGTAGCCAAAACGGAGTTTTCAATACAACCTTTCAGTTCGAATAGCAAACAATTGGACTGTGTCACTAAAATTGATCGGTTTTGGAAACCTCCTGCGGTGCACTTTTATTGGTTAATTCAACAACTGAAATATACATGATAAAAGGTTCGTTTAAATGCTAATAAATACATACATATGTTTTTTTAATGATACTTTTAATCATCTGAATGAAAAAATCATGTTGGTTCCTCTCCGTCAACGAAGAGACAGAACATGATTAGGTACCGAAACTTGTATTTTTCTGGCTTGATTAACATCTCATTTATTCCATTTTGTGACTCAAAAACTTAAATAATGTCTCGTGAATACACAAAAAAAGAAGAAATTATATTCATCATGCTCTGATGACACCAGCTTGAAAGAAAAAGAAGAAATTAATTGGATATCGTCGCTTTGAAGTTGCGATAAATCATGGACGAATTCTCAAGAGCTCACGAATTTCAACCAATCGGTATACCCGATCTTCAATACCACGAAACCAATAGCGTTTTGTTGAAAAAAGTTGAAATTGCCGATGAGTTAAATAAAAGAATTTTCTTGGAGGTAAGTGAATGTTCCTTGAACACTGAATATTTCCACGCTCATTCATTGTTTTCAGTGGCGAGGTGTCAATGATCGATCATCGATGTCCCCCCCCCCCCCCATTTGAAGCTGTGGTAAAGAATCGATTATTATTAAGAGCTTATTAAAGAGGGTGTTCGTTAAGAAAACCCTCCAAATCGATCCTTTTTCATAGGTTTAAATGGCAAATCAATCGATACCTCGGAAAGCACCCCTCGCCACTGATGGTTTTATTATGACGTCTGAACTTGACTACTATGACCAGAGATCCCTCCACCATCTCCCCTCCCTCTTCTAAATATCGCGAAATGAAAATTAAAAGTATGTTGGGGGGAAACACTACGTGGCCCCTGGCCCCTCTATAACACAGCATAAGCTAACGCTTACGGTTATGCCGTGCTCATAGGAAAAACGCCGTATTTAATCCCTTAATAAAATGTTCACTTTGCAAGGAAGTATGAATATTTTCATTTGCGGATTCAGCAAATTGGCAACCCTGTCTTTTCTCCATTGAAACCTATGAAAATGTATCGATTCTTGGAGGGGCAAGGTGATCCGACAAGGATCGATTATTTAGCATAGGTTTAAGTGGAGGAAATCCGATGTTGTCGAATTGCTGGATCCGCTTCTGAATATTTTCCCTTGAAACGTTTCCCGCTATAGATTAAATTGCGGCTTAAAATCTATAAAAAATTGGAGTAAAAAATTCACAGATTTCCCTGAAAATGTCTGCTTCATCATACGAAATTTGGAAATGTTTAAAAGCTCGTCTGGTGATCTTCCTTAGCACTGCAGCATTCTGCGCAGACATCTTCATATGCATAGCTTTTTGTTCACTCAATTGAGAATATACCAACTTCCCAGGGCCCGTTTTTTGCCTATCTCTCCAATTGAAGGCGAAAAATAAATTCGCTCCTCTCGAGTGTCAAAACGCTCGGCAGTTTAGGAACTTGCAGGGGCCACGTGGTAACTTTTACTCAGGAAAAAGACTGACTATCCAATAATTTTGCAGAATTATTGTGCGTTTATAACGTTAAAAATATAAAACGCTTTCTTTATATTCCTCCGAATTTGACGTCCCCCAGTTTTTCACGATATATTTCAGTATCATGTTCCTGGAAATCATTTTGATTTCCAGTCTAATTTAGCATTTTAACTCAGAGTATTTCTACAACATGGCTAAAATATACCTATATAATAAGTTACATTTTTTCGGAGAATTAAGTACGATACTGAAAGTTTAAACCGACTAAGTGCCTTAAAGGAGAAGGAATGTGGCAACAATTATTGCAAGTTTGTGTCTCAAAATGGTACCGGTAGTAATTTTTGAAAATAGAAGGTACCTTACCTGCACAAATTCTATATAGACAACGTGATTCTAATTGATAAATTTTCCGTCGTTTATAAGCTTTAACTTTCCGACTTTTCCCAGTCATATGCTATCAGAGGCAGGTAAAATCAAAAATGGAATACCCGTCGATGGTGAAACTCCCTAAACACGTATCCAAGTTTGCGACGTTGCAGACTTCGTGTCATACTTTATATTTTACCTGGAGAACTATACTCAACGTTAATTCCAAAAACTTCCGTAATTTTTCTTCTATGTAGATACGATGTAAATTCTGAAAAGTCATTGATTGGTGTTGATTTGTTCTGCTACTTTAAATCAAAAATTGAATCGGAGATTTTTAAACACCGCAAACGAGATACGTGGTTTGGGAAATTCACCGTCAACATGTATTCTCTAGTGCACATCTTATGCAGCTAACTTAAAATCGAAAAAATTATAGGTACTTACATTTTTTGATTTGTCACCCGTGTCTTGTGAAGAATTCTACACCCCTCCCCCCCCTAAAATAAGGACCCAACATTTTGCAAGCCACCAAAAGAACGGTGCTTCGCCATACTTCCGCGATTCCATTGTTGTCAATAAAAGCGTCATTACAGCCATTATTAAGTTTACGTTGTTGCAGCTTGCAGCCGATAAAAATAGATTTTGAAATTATTGAAAATTTGGCATCAGAGTAGAGTACTGATAAAAAATGGCCGATTTCTGATTAGTGACTCGTGGGATTTTTGTGTTTACCGTTTTCTGAGGACTCTTTTTTCACTAACATTTAGTTCAATAATGTTTCAAAGGAATTGTTCCTTTTGAAACTATTTTGTAGAGCTTATTTTCTTCGTGTGGAGGCGTTTCTGCTAATTTCGTCCGCAAGTGGACCTAACCTTAATGCGTGTAACGTTGTGTATAAAATCTGTGAAAACGACTTATTCAGGATTGTCCCACTTTCAATTTTAGTGATTTAATTCCTGCTTAGCTTATCTTGTCGCCATTCTTAATTGTACATTTACATGATCGGGTATAGAATTTGTGTAAATACCTCCCTATTTTCGGTTTCGTTTATTCCTTTGTCCGTTATTCGTCTCTCCCCCAACCAGTGAGTCATCATCCTGGTCCTGATAGGCAAGTATGCCAAAATTTTAACTTGCTTCCAATGCTTGACCGAAATTTTTACATTACAACATTCTGTGTATTTCCTTTTCGTTCATTTCTTTAACTGATGTATGTATTCTCGAATCTTTTCTTTTTCAAAGACTATTTTTCTCATCTTCCCCACTGTAAACAAAGTTTCATGCAACAGGTAGGCAGGCAGAAATGGCTGACCTTTTCTGTCCAGATTTTCAACAGCACAGCCTGCCTTGAGCAATTCTAATAGATTCCAATGATAGTGCATTTGTCTTTGCATTATGTACTTATGTGCATTGCTAAATTCGATAAGCCTAGGCACGGATTTGGCATTCACAATTGGTGTTGATAACAATACGTTTACCTACCTACCTATCCTTACGCATGTCTGCAATATTTTCATGATCGAACCAGTAAGGTCAGGTAAATTTAGGTGTCACAATAGATTAAAGCTACACATTGTGTTTGGTGTAATAAGAGAGAAAACTATTTTGGTATTTTTCTTGTAGAGAGATCAGTTTTGAAGCATGACAGAGACTACCAAGATGGTACCTAGGTAAGAAAATTATTGAAATTTTCGCGCTCCTCTAAGGAAGAATTTTGAGAACCTTGACTACGCTTAATTTTTCAACTTTAATTTTTTTCTGGTTTTCCAATTCATTAACATGTATCTTATTTGAGCTTTGCAATTTTTTTTCACCTGAATAGAGATTCGTGCCGAGACGGGCGATACTAACTTTTTGGATACCCATCCTCTCTGCTTTGCTTCAAAACCAACTTAGACCCTAGGCCTTAAAATTATGTAGAACAATGGCAGATAGAAACATTTTGGAATTTTTGCTGCCCCCCCCCCCAAAAAAAAAACAAAAATTGAACTCATTTGGTTTCAGGTGATAGAGCTGAGCAACCCCCACTATCAACGCATTCCCCTAGATATCTTTCATCATATGTTCAATCTATAAATATTTGTATTTATGCTATTCTCTGTAACATTGCCACTAATGTATCTCGGTTCTTTGTTCTAGGCGGTCGTGTTTGCAATTCTAGTTCCTAAAGGGAAAAACATGGAGGAGGCATTTTGCTTGAAGTGGAGGAACCATACCTCTAACCTCACTGGCGTCCTGAGCAAATTCCTCAAGGATGAATCTTTGGTAGATGTCACCCTTGCATGTCCCGGAGACCGCGGGGAATTTAAAACCTTCAAAGCTCATCAGATGGTGTTATCCGCATGTAGTCCATACTTTGAAAACTTGTTTCTGCAGAGTAAGCATCCGCACCCAATTATAGTCCTTAGTGATGTCCAACCCAAGGAAATGGAAGTCCTTCTCCACTTCATGTATCGTGGCGAAGTTGAAGTCAAGCAAGATGAAATTAAGACAGTTTTGAAAACTGCGAATGCGCTTATGATTCGAGGCCTCAGTGATGATACACAGGTTAGATTTATCAATTTTTACACTTGCTTTGAGTAGGGACGTACCAAGGTTTTGAAACATATTTCTCCTTCTTCTTCAAGAAGTCATGAAGTTTTTTTTAACAAACAAAAATAATTCACCAATTTCTTGAAATACTTTGTGCAAAGTGATTGAATAAAGATGAAGACAAGTAGAAGAGAAGTTTTCAATAGTTCAAAATTTACAATTTTCTGTTGCAATGTTATTATTAGTCAGTATATTGATTGGCAGTATATGAAATCTGGCACGCTGTAAGCAAGAAATGTAAATGGTTTTATTGTTTCCCCATAGGTTGCCTTGATTTTAATGATGGTCATGGTCATAATTGTTTTTTATCTGCATCCATGTATTATGACATCATATTTAGGTTTTTTCCCCTGATTCCTATGTGTCTTCAAAGTCAAACTTGCTCAGTCCTATGGTCTGACAACAATTTCAGTTTCTCAGCGAATTTTGAAGTGTTTATTAGAAATTTAATGATGTTTCTCTCAAATCTGTTTCTGTATGGTAACTTCTCAACTTTCTCCATTTCTAGGTCCAAACTAGTGAAAAGATAGCTGAGAAAAAAAGGCCTCGGTCGCCGTCTCCACCTAAGAGCTCAGAGAGCGTTAGGAAAAGGCGGAACACAGACAGTGACACACAGCAAAGTTCTAAAAGTATTCCAAACAACCCTCCATCCGATCGATTTTTATTGGATCAACCTATTGCTCATTTACCTGTAAGTTTTTTTCTCCCTGCTCTCTCATGAATTTCATGTAAATTTTTGTAAGTGAGAAACAAAAACTAAATATATATGCTCATCGTCACTGGCCCGGGTGGTCTTATCATCACCCGGGACGGTGACGATGAGCAAAGCCTCGTGAGCGTTGGAGTCCGAGCCTCAGGTATGGGTGGTGGGATTGCGGAGAGCGACTAGAAGGGAAGGACCCGAGCAGCGCTACACAATGGTCCGGCCAGCTAAACTTTGATTTACGCACTTAAAATGATGAATATCTCGAAAACTGCACATGGGATCTCTTTCGGCTCATGTGAGCTTAGATCAGAATGACTAGCTGAGCAACCTATCAAAGTTTCATCAGATTTGACTGGGGGCGGGGGGATTTCCCATACGGATGGTGCGGGGTTCGTTCAGTCTTGTATTGACTATAGAAACCTGTTTTCATTTTAGGACCAGAGAAGTTGACGAACAGTCATCGCCTTTGGTGGTCATACTCATCATATACTCATTTGAGTGAAATATTTTCCTTTAAAGTTATAATTTTGGCACTGAGGATAGTGACTTGATGTCAGTTTCTGCATTTAATCTAAGAGGTACTGTACACCCACTCTGGTTCATCGTTTTTATTTCATTCAATCATCCTTTCTTCCCTTCGCCTTGATGCTACATTGGTATATCTTACAATACTGTTCTTGTTTTACAGCATTCGTCAAGTTTTTCGGGTACACCTACTTCCAGTGCTCTCATTTCATCATTTTCATTGTCATCACAAATTGGAACATCTAGTACTCCAGACGAGCTTTACTCAAATGTCAAACAAGAAGCGCCACTTGAGGATAGCTTTAGCGAGCGAGACCTTCCAATGGTAAGTTTTGTTTGAGTATTTCATCCTACAGAAAAAGCTAAATGGTATGGTAAAGTTTCTCACTTTTTACTAACTTTTCTTTCATTTTGAACAGAGCAAAATAAAATACAGTGGAACCTCCTTAAGTCAACTTTCTGATATTATTATCATAATCAGTTTTGGTCTGATTGGAAATTTTGGTTCTTGTCTCATTTGGAAATTGGTTTAACTGGGAGGACACATGTTTTGGTCCTGCCGTCAAGTTTTTTTTTTTTTTTTTGGTTTGAGTCTGACGCAAATGCTGAGTTGCGGACGTTTCACCAACATGAGGCCAATGTTCGAATTCATGCCATACCCAGATTAGAGTGGAGCCCCTTATCGAAAACACAGGTTACCTAGCACAGCCAGATGAGGAGCTGTAGTCAGTATCAACCTAACATTTACTGCCGTGTCGCTTAAATAACCTGTCTGTTCTTTTACTTGAAAATAATTGTTTGGCGTCAGCCCACCAGAATCTCTGATTGGCAGCTGGTTTTTCCTGCTTGTGAAGCATTTTTTTATCTATGAGATGAGAGGGCCTCATAATCCGTTGAAGTCTCTGACAGACTACTTACTATCTAATTCCTTACAATGCACTTACAATCATCCCAAGACATCGCATCGGAGGGAGTTTTGCCACTTTACACATGAGAGATGTCATTCCCTCTCTTTTTGTCCTACTGATGATTTTTATTTTCATTGTTTAACAATGTCATTCATAGGTAGACTTGATAACCTCCATTTTGATGGTCATCTAGTAGCCCTATTTCAGGTTTCAACACTTCACTTCCCCAAGCCATGTGGGTGGGCTGTCTTCTTCAATTTAAAAGTATTGAAGTTACTTCAATTTTTATGTGTTTTCTTTTCTCTTTGGTAACCTTAACTCAGCTGAATCATGCTCTGCATTCTTTTGCCGTGTTGCCACGCATCACCAATAATTTAAGGCACTGTCATGAGACTGCAGGCTTTAATATCAGTCACCTTTGCTACTCAATGAGTCCGTGCAAATGGAACCTCAGCCGAATAATAATTTTTCGCAGCTTTCATGGGCAATTTAGTTTCAAAATTTCTGAAGGAACTCACTGATCATTGATTTTAATCAAGGTATTAGAATTACTTTTTACAGATGATTTGGTTCACCTGTGACAACTAATGGTGAGATTGGCATTAGGCGGAACTTCGCTTAAGTCAGACGACAACCAAGCCCAGGCCTTGTGCTCGTCCGGCTCATCAAAATTTCACTCTATTAAAAACTTTGTGTAGTCCAAAAGATGAAAAAAGATCCTCTATGTTCGTCTCTTTACTAGTTCAAACTTTCATTTCGGTGTTCCAGCACCAAGCTCCTAGGTCTGATTGGACAATCAAAGTAGGGAGCTGAAACTATGGAGCTTCTTTGACTAATATTTTTCCCTTTTTTCATGCCTTTTATAAATTTCTTGGTAAAGCGCCTCTTTACTTTGCGGTACCTATCTCGGTTGAGGAGAGTTTAGTGCGGTCAAAAATATCAGGACTGTCGGCAAAATGCCATGAGTTTTTCTCTTATTGGAGCTCATCAGGCAAACGTAGCTGATGGTCCTGATTTCTTTTTCCCATCAAACACTCTTCAACCGAGATACTCGGAAGTAGAGTAGCGCTTCACCAAACAAATCTATAAGTAACATGAAGAAAGTCAAAAATTTTGGTCGAACAATATTATGCCATAAAGTGAATTTACTCTATTGAGCCTATGTCATAATGAAGCTTATGGAGAATCGACTAACTCCGATTTTTGAATCATGTGATTTCCCCTTCATATTCAACCTTACCTCAAGCTTAGTTCAAATCCATTTTAATAGATTAGACTTCTAAAACTGTTGTACTTTTTTGGCAGAATGATTATGGGCGTGATGTGAGTGTTGAATCAACTCAGAGTGATAGAACAAGTTCTCCTCGCAGTTATCAGCTCCCATCAGCAATGCCGCAGTGCTTAGTCAAAAAGGTATGTACTCAATTTTTAATCTTTTGGCTAACGCATTCACAGCACTGTTGGCGCATTCAACTAGCGATCATGTATAACAGAAGTGGACAAAATACCAGTTTTTGCCCAGCCGATTTTTGCGTTTCAATTAAGCTGTTTAGTTCATATTATTGCCGGTGCATTTTAGTATCCTACTGTTGTATGTCTAGAAAAGATGCAAATATTGATCCACTTCTTATAGCATCAGTGACCTTGTAGTTTGAAAATTGAAGAGATTTTTTACATTTAGTGCTGCTGGGAGCAACATTTAATGTTCAAAACATGATGATGATAATGTTTTGTGAGCTTTTTCTTTTTACCTCTTGACCTTTCAATCCGACAATCTCTGTCTTCTAGTGTGGCAGTTCCCAAACTCGTTTCATAAACTCCTAGGGGTCCACTAACGTGGGTAGAGGGTTTACAGAATGGAATTCTAGAACAGTAAAGAAAATGGCAAAACCCTGCAGACAAATTATTAACAATGTCTTGGCTGATGAAGATCAGTAGCCTCTGCGCTCTCATGTTTCATGGGAATGACCCAACTTTAAAAAATTAGACACAATATTAGTAATTTTGCTAACATGCATTGAAATACATTATGAAACTAACGTTCTCTTAGCAGAAAAAAAAGCTTATTTGATCATAAATCTCTTAGAAAGATGTGCTGTTTAGTAGCACATTAGTTTCGACCAGTCAGGAAGGTGACTGCTAACTCGTTTTGGGTTTTAATTGGACCCTTTATCAGTGCAGCGCAAATCCCTGGTTTTCTGCTTCCAAGCTCCGAGAGATCATAATTAGCATTGCACCAAACAACTTTCTCTTTGGAGAAAAGTCGTGATCAAATGAGCTTTTTCCCTTTGTAATGAGAATATCAGTTCTAAACTGCATTTTCATGCATGTTGGCAAAATACCAGCACTCTGTCTAAACGACTTGTGTGTTAAACCGCAATCTGTTAGTAGTCGTCAAAAATTGCTTTCCTGAATAATTTACTTAACTTTACAGAGATCTCTTTAGTGTGATCTAGTAGATCTCGGTGATCTATAGTAGTAGATTTCGTTAGAGTGGACAGCGTTTTATTAAGGAAATCCAGGGGAATTAGAGTTTGAATAATATCATGAGCTCTGGTCAATGGTGCCCCTTTTCTGACAGCTGCAGCACCTTAACCGACTAGCAGCCAGTTTCATGCTTATTTTCTTAGCATTAAGAGCAAAAAATTGAAGCACAAAAGGTTTTATCATGCAATCAATGCAAGCTGACCATTCAAATGTAATGTGTTTGATTGCAGGGTGATTCTACAGATGATTCAAATGTTTCTCCTGGCTTGAATTCCGGTGACCATGATGTGGAAGATTCAGGTGGCAACACCTCTGATGCTCTAGATGGTAAGTCTTTTTGCTTTATATATTACTCTTCTTGTTTCTTACTGCATGAAGAAGATTTCCAAAAATACAATGTCTGAATTTAGTAGAAGTCTTGGATTTTAGACATGTTCCCACTGACATATTTTTTGGGTGAGCATTCTTGCAAAGCCAAGGAAACCCATGAAACAACCACAGAATGTAATACCCATAAACTACGGTAAAACCCTTACTTATGCAAGGGTATGGGATTGTAAAAACGTTGTCGACCCCAGAGTGTTACTCTTCTAGGAAAGGGAAGGTCCAGGGATGGATCAAGATGGTTCAAGATTTATTTTTCTTTATCATGGACAGCTTAAAACAGTTATAATTGTAAGCTCTGACAGTCCTCACCTTGATTAGAAAGGGAACACCCAACATGCCTCATCAACCCGGAATTTTCAACCTGTAGGTCCGAAAAGATGTATGATGTATGATTGAGATTCATCATAACAGCTAGAGTCCTACTTTATCTGCTTTGAAATAGGGTATCTAAAATTAGCTCAGTCATATTATTCGCCAAGCTTTAAAACACACTTGTAACCCATTTGCCCAAAATGATGTTAAGAAACAGTTCTTATAATAATTGAGGTGGTACCCTAAAACATGCATTTCTCCGACATATATCAAGAAAAAATCATAAATCAATGCACCAACGAAAATTGAAGAAAAAAGCCTTCTTATCAGTATTCAGTATCCATGATATTTTTTCAGTTCAGTTTTTTTTAAACGTTCAGAAGGACCCTCATGTTCCTCTGAAGTTATTAGTTCTCCTTTGCTCCCCCCCCCCCNCAATTAAAAATTGATTTTTGGTTTTTTTTATATTTTTTATTATGAAGAGTATTTCTTTCTTATCGTGGTTTTTTTTTTGGTCACTGAAAATCAACTCAATTTCTAAGATTTTAGAACAAATACACAATTCTTCATTTTTCTCATTTACTTTGCTGCTTATAAATTTGATGTTCTTTGTGTAAGTTGCATGCTTGCCAGAATGTAGCTCTTGCAGGGCTCTGGGTTTTGGGTTTCACTCTGGACCCATCCTTTAACAAATTTTGCACGAAACACAACCAAGGTGTCTATGGGTCTGGAAAACAGGGAATTTTATTAGGTCAGAAATCAAGGAATTCGATGGGCTTGAAACTTTTGGCTATTCATTCAGAAAAATGAATGGAGGAATAATTTTCAATTACGAATTGCAATTTTAGTTAATTGAATGATTAATACCTGAAGAAAGTTGTTATCGTTTGCAGTAAAATTAATGAAAAAAAAAAAATTATTTTAAGTTCTCTGCTCGTCGATGATGTGGAAAGGTAGAGAATCTAAGTTATGATGCACTTTATTCGGTCTTTATTTTCAAAGGAATTCTGTCATTGAAGCTGTAGTAGGTTAAGAATGGCATTTAAAATCGAAGCGGGTTAAAGAAAAATGAAGCAGGCCTTAAATTTAAATAAGAAACGTCTGAAAAGGCATTTGAAGCAGAATCCAAAGTAGGCAAAATGAGAACAAAAATACGTCTATCATGTCATAATCTAATCATTCAGTGAAGCAAGTGCAATGAACCCTCTTCGAAAAATAGAATTGAAGTGAAAGGTTTTGAAAGTTTACACTCGACTTGCTTAACCTTTTCGCTTTTCCTCTCAGATTTTTTACTTAACTTCTTATACTTGACATGCACCATGCCTACATATTTTTGCGTATTTGTTCCCCCACCGCCACATGCTAAAACAGGAAAAATGAGTCAGTATGAGGCACCTCATAAACTCTTTTATACCAGACTTGTGAACCTGATGTGATATGAGCCGTATTTATAAAAAAAAATTTCAATTTCATAACAAAGGTTAGTTATACTATGAAATAAGTAGGCTGGTACAGAATGTATCAGATTTTATGTATAGCTGAACTCTTGGAATTGAAAATTTGTGGGCGTCACTGAGCAGAAGGGTCTTATGCACAGAAGGTTTCCAAAATCAATGTATATCATATAATATTGCTTTAGTAGTTGGATTTTTTTAATTGTATACAAATCATATCTGCTAAATGCAATCCAATTTTCTGTATCTTCAAGACATAATGAGAGTGTTAGTGAAACCAGTTGTGGTTGTAAAAGTGCAGTTTTCTAGGGGAAAGAGTAGAATCGCCTCCAAATGAAATTTATCTTACGGCCATAATATGGAGTTTTAATAATTTTCAGTGTTTTTGAGCCTTATTGCCGCTTCTTTGTGTTTTTTGTATTTAAAGTTGTATATAGTTGTGAGCTCAGTGTCTGCTATGATCAGTCATTGGAAATTATCAAATCAAGTTCATGCGATGAGTGTTTTTAAGTAAAGTATCCAAGTCCTTGAATGCCAACCTTCTGACCCTGTGACGAAAATTCCCCTTCCCATGTTCTAAGGAATATTCTATGACAATTCTCACAAGTTGGAAACACTGATTTTCCTTGTTTTAAATCAATTTTAATTAACCAATGCCCAGTGAAACAGCCTGCGCCAATAAATATTGATTGTTTCTATTTCATTTTAATGGACGAAACTCAGTGTTGTCATCTTGCGGGAATCATCACCGAAAACTTTCTGGAGAGATAAGTGACTTAAAATGAGATTTTTGTCTTTGAAGCTTGATTCAAACGTTTATTTAGTCCTAAGTGATAACTTGATGACTATAATCACATCAAGTCTTAATCATTTACCATAACTGGCTCTTCAACAGTGGTTTCCATATAAATTATTTTTAAACACATAGCTCCTTTGAACCATGTCAATTGCTATGAACTGGTCTTCTTCTTGTGTCAGTACTCTTAAACCTGTCTCGTATGCTTTTATTTTACTGTCAAAATATAAATTTGCATATTTTGTAGTTATACAGTGTTAGTTTGCTTTCAGCACATAGTGTGTAAATATTGCACTCGATATTGTATCAAATTTTATGACAACCTCCCTGTTTTTTTTTTGTTTTTTTTTTTTTGTTCATCCCCCTCCCTTTCATTCATGGATGTTTCCTCATTTTGCTCCATTTTATCCAGCCTGATTAATTTTTTTTTTTTCGTCGGTGTATATTTCTAAAACTTCTAGAATAGAGGATTTTTCAGCCCCCGAACTCTCCGCAGCTATTTTTCAAAGAATTACACCAAAGTAGATAAAACGAATATTTGAAGATCAAGCTAATTTTTTTAGAGAAAATGTCTGTTAAGTAGTTCATATTCATGGGTGGAACTAGGAAGTCTCTCTGGGGGGAGACCAAAAGGGCACCTCATCAAGGTGGGTGCTGCACTGAAAGATACTCCATCAAGAGGGATCTGTGGGACTCCCTCAGTTCTTAGGGAGGGCTTGGGGACTTATTTAGCTCCAGAGAAGAGTCTAAAGGGCCTCCTCCGAGAAATTTCGGAAAATTGAGTCTTTTCAGGAGCTTTGAGGTTATCTCACCGAAAAATGTATCAAATTATTAAGATGAAAGACATGTGATGCATTCAATTGGCAAAATCCCTCACAACCCTGTGGAAGGGCCAAATAGATTTGAGGAGGGGGGAGAGGCTAAGGTCCCTCCTAGTTCCACCCATGTTTTTATTATTTAAAATTGAAACTTTAACTCCATAAAATCTGAGATAAATAATGAGGAAATTAGTATATGTTGAAGCAAATATAATACAGTCAAACATGTGAACTGCAAATAAAGAGAACACCCTGACATAAAGTGATTTATTTACATGTTACAAGTAACAAGCCTCAATTAACAGCCTTTGGTTCTTCTTGAAACTTTATTTCAAAATTTTGACAGTTCCACAAAATTTCTCTGAAACTTGATTGTAATGACGCAAAAAATCATTTTTATAATGCGATGAAAAAGCGTCCTAGATTGCACCTCCTTCTTTTGGACGTGCGTTTAATTGCTCTAAAATCAACCCTCCTTCCCTACCTCCGCCTGAAGAATTTTAAACACAAATTTTCATCGCTTTTAGGTCTCTTCAATTTTGTAGCTGGAGTCACTAGTTGATCTTGATCACTCCTATCAATTTTCTCTCGTGCAATTTTTACTTGTTTCAAAAAGGAGCTTAAAACAGGGTCCTTGATGATTCAAACTGAGGTGTTCTTCCTCAGCCACGTACTCTCTATGGAAAAGGCATCATGCCTGTGTCACACTATCAAAATACTCCATCAAAACGTCAAGGTCAAGGGCTGTGATTGGTCCAAGTCATCGAACAAGCCAATCACAACACCTGACCTTGATATTTTGATGGTTAGCTTTGATAGTGTGACCTGTGACACAGGCTAATGTTAATCAACTCATATCAAAGCACCATGTCACATTGATTTTTGGTTCCAATTCTATGCAAAGTTCCTGGCTTACAATTTTTTTTTTTTTTTCCTAATTTATCGCTTTTATTTTTATAGTAATCTGAAAAAGCTTTGAGCTGCACCAAAAGCTATGCTTAAAAGTATTTAGCTGCACTGAAAAGATCTCTTTTGGGTGTTCCCTCAGAACATAAAAAGCAAACTCGTAGAAAGTTCGAACGTCCTGTGATGAGAAATCTTGTGACTTCGGCAAGCTCAGATTATGTTAGGACTCAGTCGTTTAGTTTTTCTTTCATTTCAATTTTTCCACCATTGCTACCAATATTCCTCCTCACGTAACTCAAGAGGGAATTTTTCTTTCTCAACTAAGAAAACTGACCGAGGCCCCCTCCCCCTCCCAAAAAGAACCAAAATGGTTAACCATTAAGTGAATTTATAACAGATCATTTAAGACTTTAAATGTTGCCAGGTAGTGATTCCATAAGACTTGGTCTATCTTATCGACCAAGGCCAGAATTTTTAGCTTTATACTTCAAAAAATGTCTTGACTCGAACTCTCCCCAAAATTTTCCAACATCCTTCATTAAGTTTGAAAAATAAAGTATCACCTAATCAAAATTATATGACACACGAAAAATAATTGTTTAAAAAAACATATTTTAGACAAATTAAAGAAAAAATTTGTCTTTTATTTGAAGTTTTTTTTCTGGCTAAAAAAATTGTTTTTGAATCAGAATCAAATTTTTTCATCATAGATCAATTTTTTGAAGTGAAACTTTCTTTTCTATTCAAATGAAGTTTTTTCTCGTTTTGAGAATTTTTTTTTTTCTACTTCAAAGAAAATTAATTTTGCTGGAACGCGATGATAGGTACTTAAGTAATTTTAAGTAAAATAGTAATTTTAGTTTTTTCTTTAAGTAAAAAAACTTTACCTATCCAAATCATTGACAAATTTTCTCTTTCATCCATAACATATTTTTTATCAATTATTTACCAGTATAGATCTAATCCATCCTACAAAAATTGTACATTGAATAAGTTAGAATGAAATTTCATTTCATTGAAATCCAAAGCGGCACCTTTTAAACTCAGGCGTTTGATTCAGAAATTTAAGTCATTTCTGTCACTCCTCCTGTTAAATGTGGTGTTGTGTATCAATGAGAACATTTTTGCCATCAAAACCTATTGTTATTTGTGAACTCTCTCTGTTGTCGGACTTTTCACTCAAAGTTTTTGTACTCTTTTATCACGCATTGTCCTCAATGAAGCACCTCAGTGTTGAATGTCACGTAGAAATAGATTGCTTTGCATTGCATACATTCTGTAGCATTGTCATCTCAATGTAAACTTAAGTCGCACATTATTTTTTTTATTTATTCATTTATTTTTTTTGCTTCTTCATTTAATTTTTACTCTCACCTTAAGCAGAACACATATACGCAAAGCACAATTTTAGTTTTCTATAGTTTTTGTTTTTATTTAAGTTTTGTTAGACATAGTCCTACTTGCTCTCGTATATTTTAGCTTGGTTTATGTTGTAACTTTACTCATTGAATGGAAGCTTGAAAATTTTGTATATTTCCCACCTGTGCTGTCCGCAAACACATTTAAGGGTCATTTTATTACAGTTTTTATGGACTTTCATTTGACATTATCAAGATAATTTTTATGTTCTTGCAAAGTACGACAAACCAGCAAGCCTTACAAATCAAAAAATATATCACAACGTGCTATTTCTGCTAGTATCAGGCTGAATGAATTATTTTTTATGTATTATACATTTTTGCACTCAGAAAAGTGATAGCCTGTCCCTTGAGGATTGCGGTGAATTATGAGTTGTGATTTTTTGAAGTTGGATAGTCAAAAATGCAGTAAATTTTACGTTGTCACTTGTCAAAGTTTTCAAGTTTGCATCAGTATATCTTATTCATCTTTTCTTGTAAAAAGCTTCTGCAGGCAGTTTCAATGTTCAGAAAGTTCTTAATCGTCCATCAGACTATAACTTTTTAAAATATCTTATTTTATAATTTTTCCATACTTTCACGCAATGATTGTCCAAAGTTATCACTGGAAAGTTTTGTAGAGAATATAGTGTGAAATGGAAACCAATCATACCAAATTTTTGATTCTCAACTCTTCAAGCAAGGACAAAGTACAGAGCGAACGTTGCCTTGGGTTGGGCAAGGATTATTTTAAACTCAAGCCATAAACATTTTAGATTGCTTTTCAAAACTTGATTTGAATCTAAATTTTAGAAATTGAGTTTTTTTTTGTTTTTAAAATAATTTAAACTTCTATGATTTTCCACCTACTTTTTTTGTTTCATCCTTCTCAACTCACGCACTTCTATTCTAAATTTTAGGAACACACACTAGTCTTAATGTTAACTGCAAATATTTTAATTTACCTGAGTAGGAATTACTTCCTCTAAAAGTCACTAAATCTGTCTTCCGACCATCAGTCAATCTTTCGATTGGGCAGGAAAAAATATTAGTTACATTTTACATGTTTTTTGCTGATGGTTTTTCAAGTGCTCTGAAAAATCAGTGCAACTGACTTAGCATTTAAAACAAGTGAAACCTACCGACTATGTGGAATTGTTCAATAATTTAAGGGATAATTGGCCTCACCAAATCAGGAACACAAAAATAGGTCATAGAAGGTCATACCTAGGAGTGCTGAAAATACCCAATCCAGAAAGCCATGAGTAGCAGCAAGGGATTTGAGGACATTTTCAATGAATGTTAAACTTGTGGCATCTTACTATGCAACATTGTGGCAAGGGATTAGGGTCTTTGAAATTCCTTCCTCTCTGCAATATTGAACTCCCAAATAGCTTGCTGACATATTCCATCTCTGAGCCAGTTTGATGGCCAAATGGTCATGGCTTTCCTCAAGCGTGTGAGGTTAGGAGCTCAAATTAAGGTGTCCCCTTCGAGTTTTTCTATATCAGTGCCACTTCAGTAAGAAAATTCTGTATACCCGTAGGAAAACTAATTTCTTTCACGGTTCCGATAGTGGAAACTTTTCTTGCGTAATTTTTTTGAGATAAATCATTGGTGAGCACCTATGAAAGCTTATTCTTTTATCTTTTTTTCTGATAAGTTAATCAGTACTTCTACTGTCTTCATTCGTGAGCATCTCATCACACGTAGTAATATGACAATGATTACCTTGAACATCGTTTAATGTGTTCTTGGGTTTCTTGCAGCTCTCAAAACTCAATATTTTTTTGATGCAAAGGGTTGGTTATCCCTTTTTTTAACCTTAGATTTTCTACTCAAAAATTCACGGCCCTACGAAATATCATGATCTGTTTATCCATGTGTTCCCTGCTGAAACACCTCAAGGAACTGCAAACAATTTTCGCCAATTCCTGTCGTTGATGGAATGATTTCAGCTGAATTATTTATTCTTTTTTTTTCCCCCCCACAAATCTTTAGTTGTGAGTTCTAAGATGTAGGGAGTTTTTTTCTCCCCATCAAATTTTCTGACTTGTGGTAAAAGAATCAAATGTTTCAAAGCTTCAATAGGATTTTTAACGTCTTGAAAAATTCTTGAACATACTTTATTTATTTCGAATTTTAAATTTTGGAATATCTTTGACTTTGGGAAACCTTTTAGAAAAATCAGCTCCATGCCCTGAAATAAATAGTGTGGTTAACTCCCAGAACAGTCCTTGAAAATCCTTAATTTAACGTAAGAAAATTTTTGGATGTCCCTCACTTTTATTTTGAAAGCAATGATGAACCCTGTCGAAGTCTTATTTTTAGTAGATGACGTCCTCAGAAATAATTTAAATGGCTAACAAAGCAGATAACTGAACACTTGAATAGAGATATTGAAAGAGCTGACTTTAATTGTGTGATTTCTCTCTTTTTTTCTGGCAAAATCAGAGATGTATAAAGACGACATGGAGAGTGTATGTGGATCAGGGGGCGGGGGCAAAAGCAGTGGCCGCCAGCCGGACATCTTCCGATCAAACCCAGCCCAGCCCGGCACATACCATTGTATACTTTGTTCAAAAGCAATCCGCAGCCGTTGGCACCATGTCCAAACGCACTTTTATCGCAACCACAAGTGTCCGCAATGTGATGCTGTCTACTCTCGGGTTGACACGCTGAAGATTCACGCCAAGAAAGTCCACAACTTAAGCATATCGCGGTATCTCAACGACATCAGTGCACTATTCCCACGGAACATGTCAAGTCATCCACCATTGTCATCGCCCAACTACTAAGTCAGCCCTGAAAGTCTTACTTCAGAAGCATTTTTAAATTTAGAGTATTACCGTTCTTTTTTTTGGTATGGAATGGACTTACAATATTTTTTTATCGTGTTAATTTTAATTCTTGAGCTGATGGCCTCATTCTTTGAGCTCAAAAATACTCTGAAAGTCAATGATTTTTTACCGCTATTGATGCTAAGGGTATTATTACTTGTTTTTTTTATTTATTTGTTTGTTTTTTTTTTTTTTGATCTTTCCCCTTAATGTTGCAGATGTTAGATTTTCAATTTTTTGGAATACTTATGAATACAGTTGTAGAACTAACTTAACATGCCTCTTTGCATTTTTTTATAAAATGCAGGAAATAAATGTCATTAGATAAGTAGTGAATGTTTCCAATATCTATTTATGTATTTTTATTATTATTATTATTTTTTTTATCACACTGCCCATGAAATGAGAATTCAATTTTGAATGCACTATAAAATCATGGCTTTTCTCTTTTTTTATGTCAGGAAAATTAAAACCATGAGTGAGTCTTCAGACAACCCCTCCAAGTTACACGAGGTGGATTAATGAAGCAGGTTTTCTCGTTTTCAATCTCTCCTCACTTCGGTTTTTTGTTACCCCCTCCTCTTTTTTTAATATTTTAATTTTTCAATCTTTCCAACCATCACTCATTTCATTCCCATCTGTGATAAATGATCTGTAGTAACTCCAATGAAAAATAGAGAGTTTTTTCAAAGTATTTATAATTTTGCCACAAGCTGCTCAAAATTTTGATGAGATGAATTCATCCAATGAATATGGAATGAGTATTTATCATCTCCATTACCCATTATCTGATATCCTCCATAACGTTTTTATGCATAAGGGAAATTTGATGTGCGCCCTAAAAATTGTGCTCTCGATTTCTCTAAGTTTCCTAATCCATGTTAGGAAATGCTCTCTTGATTATAAAAATTTTCTCCATCACTATCAGTATGTTTTTGCAGGGTGTCTAGTGACGGGGAAAATCAAGAAAGTGAGAAAGAGAATGACCGGGAGGGTATGGAACTCCCGTGCAAGATTATGATTTCTTGCATGAGAGGCCGTTCATAAATTACTTGACGCTCCGGTGGAAAAGAGTCAAAAAGAGCATTGCATCATTTTGGGCTCATGTCACAGTAGCCCAGTGAAGAGGGGAAGAGGGTCGATAAATCTGAAATTAAGTGTTATGTATTTTTTGAACGGCCCCTAATTTCACGAATTTTCGATACTGAGCCTCTACCTATGCGCACTGGTGCTTTGTGCTAAGATATGTTTATTTCTGCACTCCATTTGGTTTGGAACGAAAGGGCAAGGAAAGTCAGGGAGACAGTAAATGCAAGGGTCAGAGAAAAGATGGAGAGTCTAAAAGAGAAAGTGAATTTTGCAAGACACCCTGGTTTCAATATGTAAAGTTCTTTTTCCTTTTTTCCTGCATCGTGGTCTTTTCAGCTCCTAAGCATTCTCATTATGATCCTTTTGATCCTCTAAAACATTGTAAAGAAGGACCCTATCATCATATTCAAAAGCCTCTTTTGTTTAAACTACTATCTGCTCTCCTTTTTTAACGAGCTGTAATATTTCCAAAAGATGAATACAGAACCATCGAGTGGAGCTATTTCTACAAGACCACTTTCTGTAATCATACTCTTCAGTATGTTTAAAAATTATCTTCTGTATTTTTAAAACATGGCTTTAGATAGCAAAATACAGTTTTGGAAAGAAATAAAATCTTAATTCCATTGTGTAATATCCTTTTTGATTTCATCAATAATCAATTCTCAATGTTGGCATTGTGTAGATTTTATTTGTAATATCGCTTTTCAAATCCAATTTTGTCCCTGACTTTCACTGGAGTGTTAGTTCAAGTTTCTAAAAATTCAGCTTCAATAATCCCTTTAAAAGAAAAAAAACTACACGCCCGGGAGAAATCAAATTATAAGGATGGAAATTTAAACGTCACTGTTATGTTCAACAACAGGTTTATTCTAGCTGACAGCATCTGAAACCGACTCTAGGCAGTTTTGCACTAAGCAAGAAACCAACTACTTGTGTAAGAACAATGAAAAAAAAATAAATGCTCATTTGCTTATTCTCACTCAAATGAAATTGTTTTTAAATACTCAATGAAAAAGAACGTGTTTTTTGGGTAAGTTGGTTCAAACCCTGTGGAAAAATTTCAATCCATCCTGAGAAGAAAATGTTTAAATACTTCAACTCTCAAAAATAATCTCCCCACCCTTACCTCTTCTGTATTTTTTTTCTATTATTATTTTCAATCTTATAGATTGTAATTTTTGCTCGTCAAATTGTCTCTAAAAATTTCCAGTGGTTTGTTTTTGGGGCAGAGAGTCAATTGAAGGCCAAATATATTTTGAAAATTATTTTCTATGTGTAAGTCCTAGTGAAGTTATTTGTTTCGGTTCTTTTTCTGTGTATTGGATGTGTCCTAGTGTTTTGTGAGCACAGACTAAGAGATAGCTTTTCTGTTGAAGAGTTTTAACCCATGAGATTCACCATGAAGCAAAACGCTAATATCTTTTTTCTGATATTTTATTAAAATTGAAGCCATTTTATTAAGATTTTACTTGTCGCATCCCGTCTTTTATCTCTCCTGCGTTTAAATTCGCACCGTACTTATCTTTTCATTCACCTACATTCCATCTTTATCTTAATCGATATTTTTAACAAAAGCCTGTATTATCATGTGTGCTATCATAACCCTCATAATAATTATTATCATTGTTGTTGTTGTTCTTGTTGTTATTACTATTAGCCAAGGGAGGTGTGAGAACGATAAAGACCAATTGAGAGTACTAATACTAACACGTTTATTTTTTCAATGTTAATTGCTCATGTAAGTATTTGTACACTTTAGTTCTAGTTTTTAAATTCATTTTATTTTAGTCCTTAAAATTATTAGAAGACCAGAAATCTGTGATAAAATGACATTGTATTAAATACGTATTTTAATTATGTGATACTTGATTTATGAAAGGCCGCTTCGTTTTTAAATGCCCACGTAATTTTCGTCCTACAGCATTCTCAGCTTTTTCTAATGAGAGGTTTTTTAGTCCTAACTCCTTCTTTTTAAACTTTCCCTTTTTTTATTGTACTTTCTTTTCATTTTTTTTCGTTTCCTCTGACTGTTAGAATCTCAGTTGCTATCAGGTTGGCAAATATATAGTTCCAGTTGTCCTGCAGTGTTGCTTCATTTCTACCTACTGTAGGATAAGTCTGTTTGTTTTTTTTACTTCTTTGCCATAAAGTTTCTCTCGTATGTAGAACTTACATAGACTCACCAATGTCAATAAGACTTTCTGAAAGTTCCTAAAATATAAACAACGTTTCCAAGCCTCATCAGTATGTATAGCACATTTAACCCTGAAACCTGGTCTTTGAAAGGAGAATTCTTCTTTTACCCGCTGAAATATCAGCCTGTTTCTTCACAGCTGAATGAACCCTAGAGCTAGAAAAGAAGAGCTATTCAGCTAGAGAAGATGAAACTCCAAGAAGGCAATGGAAATAAACTGTTTGCACTTTTGGAAAGATCTGTGATCTTTATGAAAAAAAAATTATGAAGGCAGTTGGTTGCTCCAAATTTGTAATAAACGTAATCATCAGAAGGCTTAAATTACCGCCCTCTGAACCATTTAATTGTTATATCTTATCTTTTTCATCTGCCCATGAAAAAGTAATTGGGAGCATGACTATTAAACGATGAGTCAATTTTAAAGAGTCAAAAAATTCAAAACCCTGATTTTTGGACGTATCCAACTAGATTGTAATCTTCCGCAGTAAAGATTGAATTCAGTGAAAAAGTACCAAGTCTTCTAAGTCAAAACACAAACATAAATAACTCTCAAGTGTTTTCTTCTACACGACTCAGTTTAAAAGAAAAAAGCAAAAGCTGAACTTCTTTCTTAATTGAAGCGCGTCGAAAGCAACCCGGGCACAAAGCACTGGAGACTCTCCTCGCCTAAAATTTAAGGATTTTTTTATTTGTTTGCCTATGAAGATCTTTCTTCTCATGTTTTATTTTTTCGAAGGAAAACCAGGAAATATCTCTGTTTTAATTTTCAGTGAGTACTTTTAATAGTTTAAAGGAAAAAATCTGACAAAATTTCATAAATTCGAAATGTTTTGTTTCCTCGTATTTAAATGAAATGACGCAGAAAGTCTGTAAAGTCGCAAACTCAGACAGGTGTATTCTAATGTCACCACCGACTAACACTTAGTTTAGATGAATCGATAAAGGCTGAATCAAGTGCCCTTTTTGCCCCTTGATAGTTCTGATTGTTACATTTTTTGGCGGTAGAAGGTATACATTCATCCCAGACTGGCAGTAGGAGGTATACATTCAACCCAGACAAATGGTTTTGTTAAATATACAATGTTGTAAACTTAGATCTGAAAACCAAACACCATCATTTTTCACTTAACGCCTCTTTCGAGTGTATGACTTTTTCTCAAGTAATTCTTAATTTTCCGCACCTATCAATGTGTAAACAACAAAAAAATGAATCTCAAAAATTAACTCATTGTTTTCTAGTCAGAAAATTAATTTCCCTTAAAAAATATTCTCCTTTTGCCGCCATCACTGCAAACAGAAAAGCAAAAGAAACAAGCATTAAAAAAAGTTAGTACATTTTTTCAAAACTAGTAATGCGCTTTAATGCCATCGCCGTTTTTAATCAGAGCACGCCAAATTTTAAAAAAATTCCCATCTACTTCAAAAAAAGAAAGGAGCAGAGATCATTCTCTAATTCAGCCAAAATAAAAAAAAGTACCCAAATGAACCTAAAGCATGCTGAAAAAATGTCTAATCTCTCTTTGGGAAGTATTTGTATAAAATAGTGTGAGTTCTTTGGAGATCAAATTTCGGGAGAGGGTATCCGCTATGAGTCACTGAAATCAGATTAAGATGTAGGATACTTAAAATGAAGACACCTAGCTTACTCACTAGCTAGATCTTGAACCCTGCATTTATTGTGAAGGGGACGGCAAGGAAGAGTTGGAGTCTCAGATACGCTGCAATGTCTTGTGAAGTTGCAGTGCTGTCTTATAAGACAAAATTAATAACTGGCAGCACTGCATTGTAACATGGCAATTAAAATTTTTTCGTAACATCATAATGTGAAGTTGAGAAGACTATCATTATCTTCTGTTAATGCTAGCTCAAAGTTAGTGAATCAAATTAATTAATGTAGATATATTTTTTTCCTCTTTTATACTTGCTGAGCAGAGAGGGTTCCTTTCATTATATCCCCTGCTAAAAAGAGGTGCTTCAGCCCCTAGCCTGCACTTTTTGAGTAAGAGCAGTGGTCTTCTTATCCTTCGTTTCTTCATTCATTAAGATTGTATAGAAGTAAAGCCTATCAAGTAGACATCAGTCCTTTCCACCTGCTCGACTTATAGTCATTATCATCTAGTTAAGTCATGCAAAGGTATTAAACTCCAACCTCCTCCTCCTCCTCCCCTTACCTACGTTATACTCTATTTCTGTATGATTTTTTCCCACTTATTGAAACTTGTTTGTAAATGCTTGTATATACCTAAATTAATTGTTATTTATCCCTTAAGTATCTTTGTAAATAAAAAATCAAATGTTACTAAAATTCTTCTAATGTTTCATTTTGCCTCTCCTCTTACCTAGGAATGAAAGTTAGTCTGCTCAACACATAGATAGCCTTTCCACATCGACCAGTATCAAATTGATTTAACACTGTATCTTTAACTAGAGACTGATCCGATTTTTAACATGTTGCATGCCTCATCTAGCTGGTGAATGGGACATAAAGGTGTTTCTTTGGCACCAAAATGGCAACATACCCAGATAGCAAACTAATAACTGCCGGATGTAAACTTTGGACTAAAATATTTTTTTAACCCTGATTTTAGACTTTTTTCAATTGAATATGTTTCTCTTTTTGGGGTTTTTTTTTTGGATGGTGCAGGAACAACTCTAAAAAGCATGCTAGGACGTATAATTTTTGTCTTTTTCACAAATAAAGAAAAAATTAGCAGTCCAAAAGAAGGTAAAATTTTAAATCATTGAATGTCTGAAGGTGTGTGACTATGCCGGTACTTGACTGTTTAAACTCAAAGCAAGTAGGCTTTTTCTGCCCTCTGTGATGGTTGCGGTGGGAGAAATTATGTACCAAGGTTGGTTGGGGACATCCTTTCGCAAATGTCCCATAACTGATAGGAGCCATTCTTAAATTGCGAGTAGTTTTTATTTTTAGGAACCCCCATCACCCTGTAAGAGACATATCAGGCTCCTCTTGACCAAGTTGACTACTCATCTAGAGTAAGTTCTGGCACATTTAAAAAAAAAAGTTTAAAATGGTTGAAGAAATGTGTCGCCAAAATTCTACCACAGCTAAAGATAGCTTTGATTGCTATGTAGATCATTTTTTTTACTCTACAGTCGAAAGTCGAAGTATGTCTATTTTTTTTACTGTTAGCCACTTCTATCTTTTATCATAATCTATCTCACCTACCATAGATTCTTTGACTCAGCAATTTTTCCTTGCTTGTCCTAGAGAGTTTTCATTCCAAAATCCATAATATTCTGGCTATGGGCAGGGGATAGTCTTGAGATGAACTCGTTGTCATCGAATATTGGAAGCATAACCCAGGTTTTTTTATTGGTATGAAGCGACCCAGTAAGGGAATAGAGCGCCGCTCTTAACTACTTTTAACGCTAAAAAAATATAAATATGTAATTTGATTTTTCCAGAAATGTTTGTATTTACGTAACTCAAATATGTTAGCTAGTATAGTCAACATAGTAGTCAAAGATTTTAGTAATAAAAACGTTTGACTCTCGACTGCGAATGTAGATCTATTTGTAAGTTTGCATATTTTAGAGTTTAGGCATAGATTGCTTCCAAACACCTAAAAAATTCCAACATCCTTGAACCAAGGACACTGTAGATCTACACAGATTTTCTAAAAAATTTCTATCCGAGAGGCAGTTGAGATTAACCTATGGTGCATGTGTCTTATCCGTCTGTCTCTGGGGAAAAAAATGACTCCACAGTCAACGTAACACCTGTAACCATGCAGTAACTGTTACATTGATCACTTTCATCACATTTTTTGTATTAATATTCTTCAAATGAACTCTTAGTGGCATGGAGATGTGCTCTTATGGGAGAGAAGTGTTAGCCATTAAATCTCAGTGCGAAGTGCAAAAGAAAAAATTAAACAGTGCAGAGGTGTTCTTCAAAATAGCGTCTAAGTATGAATGACGCTTGTGATACCTTGGACGGAATGTGGTACCTATTTTATAGGCCTCTAGACGATGTAAGAATCCAAGCATACTTAATGCTTCTTTCTCATCAAAATTTCGCCACGGGAACATTAAACATTTTCAATTTCAACGCATAAGTTGGATATTATGACTTTTTTCTTACAGTTCAAACTTCCTACTACCCAAAAGATCAAAATTGGGTTATCAACTGCTTCAAGTGTGCTTTTTGATGAAGTAATTGAATAATGAAATTACTTTCCCAAAGTACTGAAAAATTTCAGGAAGTTCTCAATATCAAAAAGGGAAAAAACGTTCTTTTTTTAAAACAAACTCTAAATTTGTGGAACGTGTAAGTTCGCTTTCGGTATCCAGTGTGACCTAAGCTACTTCGATTTTATTTTTTTGGCAAGTGGAAATTTTAAATACATCGATGCTGCTAAATACGCTAAATGCTGTTTCCCTCTTAAACTTGATTTTTGACACATGTAAAATTATGATGAAAAGATTATGAGGAAACAAGTGTAGGTTTTGTTTTAATTCTAACCATGTATTCTGACCTGTTGCTGATTTGACTTAATTTCTGTCAGTTTACAACACCTATTTTCTTAATCCTCTCATTAATACATTCTTAATTTTAGTTTTCCCACTTTCATTTTGCCTCAGATTAAAATTTTAATTACCTTGTTCTACAAACCTCGAAAAATTGGGGTCGAAAGACTCATTGTAAGTTTTTTTGCCTGGTCAACATAGCTTGTTTGTTCTTTTTTTTATGCTTAGAATCACCATGAACAAAAACGGAAGAATTTATCATGTATTCTTTTCTGTTCCCAGCAAGCACCGAAGATGGTGTGAACACGGAAGTAGAACACCTAAAATACTTCAACAAACTGGCGAAAGGTGCGTTTGTGTGTAAATTGTGCGGGCGAATTGTTGGTCATATGAAAAACCACTTCTTGACGCACAAACCAGAAATTCACCAATGCCCCATTTGTTTCTGCACATTGACAAGACGCAGCACACTCCTCCGGCATTTCAGGCTCAAGCACAACACATAACACTGTTGCGTGATGATGATCAAGCTCAACATTAATCAACTACGCATCCAGATTGAAGGTCAATAGTAGTATACCTTTTTATTACATTCTAACCGTACATTACCACTGGATTACCTCATATCAGCTTCAGGGATTTAAAAAAAATATATATATACATGAATATGTTGGTTGTGAACATAAGTTATGCAAAACTTTGGCCACCTTTTTGCAAACTCTTTTCACCAGGGCATCCTTAACGGTAAATTGCTACCTGATTTCATTATTATTTTTTTCTCTTTTCTTTCTTGGGTCAAACCTCAGGTATATTAATGAGTCTTTTTAATCCTTTGTATATTTTCTAACAGTTTCATAATTTCCTGAGTAGATTAATTTTAAAATTGAAAAAAAAATCGTATAAAGTTATAAATGAGAAAATTAATTTACTTGGTGGTAGATGTGTTGGTGGCAAAATCTACTTTTAGACGAGGCCCATTTTATTACTGGGCAACAGGCACTATCTCTGCGGATCTGGTTTTGCCAAGATTGATCAGCAAAACTAGTATTGGATAGCTATCGTTTAATTCAATCAAAACAAGTCATTGGAACTGTTTTAAAACGAGCTTTTTATACAGAGTTTAACTAACTTTGTATACTTTTTTTAATATCATGACTCCAGGCCGAAGAAGTAGGTACCTTCAGGCTAACAATAGGTTGTGTCAAAATATTTCAGTCACTTTAGTCCTGCCAATTAAATGTCATATTCAGAGGAAACTGGAGTTTTCTATTGTTTAGTTTTTTGTGAAGTAACAGTCAGCCAAATTAGAGTCAGCATTGCCTCTGTATCTCAATCAAAGATGATTCGTATTTCCTCCTAAAAGTGGATTTTTCCACCCTTAGATATACCCCTCTGATTCTTCCTTAAGTTTGCTGAGCACCCGTGCTTAATTAGTTTGTACTTTCTTCTACTTTAACTCTCACTGTTATATCTGTTCTTCATGCAATTTAAACCAAGCAGAAGCTTCCTATCTGCAAAATAAGCCAGAAATAGTAGCTCCTCGTGGCAAAATGTACTCCATTCATTACAGAATTGCAATTATCTAGCCCAATGTAGTGGACAGTCGGGTCTAATAAAAAAATCTAGATGGTCGAGGTATCCGCCCCCTGATGTTCACGTTAGGATCCAAACTACGCTTTTCTCATAAAATATCAAATGGAGTTGAAACCTGGTCTATTGTAGATGCTTGCAACACCATTTATTATTGCACACCTTGCGCAAATCAATTGGTGGAAATTGTACTTTTACGGTTACAGTGTAGATTTTTATGAAAATTTCCAGAAAACTTGGGCCTGATGATTGAAGTTCTGTTGCATGATGACGTACGTCATGACAATTTTGAATTTTTTTTTCCCCGAGTCATGATTATGATTAGTCATACTCTCGGTGGTAAAGTCGATCAGCATGATAACTTTTTGGCTCAGCATGATATCAATATGATAACATACTGGCAGGGAAAACGAGTATGATACCAGCAGAATATTATAACAATACCATACTAATATCATAAAAGAGAATCGGCCAATTCACATTATGATTCCATGCCAATCGACTTTACCGGGGCTTTCAACTTTCCAAATATGATATCAGAGACTCTCTATACATGACTGTGATTTCTTGAAATACGAACTGCTCAAGCATATTGCATGATTAATTCAAGATGAATATAAATTATTCAAAGTGTTAAACATCTTTTTTATGTGTTTTCTCCGATTTGAGAAGTAAATTTTACCTTAAAGGTACCTTTCGCTCGTTTAAGTTTTAAATGTTATGAAAGAGGTTCGAAATCCCTGTTTCAACTTCGTGATAAATTTCAATGATTACCCAAGGCTAACCAGGTTTTTCTCCTATTTTGTAATTTTTTAAAAAAATTACTGTTTTAGTTTTACATTTTTTGTTACTTTGCAAATCTCAGGAACTAACGACTGTTATTTGCAGTGGTTAAGTTATAAAACAGCTTTTGTTGCAGTGGATTTTACCTTGTTATGTTCAGTTATCAGTTTCAAAATTTTCCTCCATGTTTCAATTGTTTATAGGTGAAGATAAAATCCCTTTTAAATACAAAACTAGATGGAGATTAAAGGTTTCTACCTTTAAGCCAAATGTTATGTCCTTTGCAAGGTGTCCTAGTTTCAATTTGTCAGACAGCCAAGGGTCATTCCATTTTCACACAAAAGAAGATATTTTTTCTTTCTCTTTTAAAAGTCTACTGGTTCCTAAATCATCCCTTTTGAGCTATGCAGCCATGTCAAATTAAATTATTACCTCCTCCTCCTCCCCCCCTTCCTCCCAAAAAGAGAGGAAATAATGACTTGCTTCTTGGTTAGCTTTGATGAGAAAAGGAGGTCCTTGAGTTTGACGTAAATCAACATTCTATCAACGCATCCCTCTTCCATATGTAGATGTTTTTTAGATCGAAAATAAAATTAAAAAAATATGATAACCTCAATCTTCAGGTCTTGAAATATTTTTGTTTAATAAATAATATAAAAATATGGAATGGATCATTTTTTTCAGTTGCGTCGACGTACAATTCCACCTGCTCTAAAACACATGCAGTAATCTGATTCTAAACCCATGTTATCAGGATAAGAATTTCACTTCGTCTCAAAACATTGACCCTTGAATTTTAGCAACTGAAACTTAGGACACCATGTCTGGTCAAGGATTAAGATTTCTTTTTATATTTTGAAACTTATAAGATTGGGATCTGCAAAACGGCGATTCAGGCCAAGAAAATGTGATAGATTAAAAAGGAATGAAAAAACTATGATTGAAGTATTTATTAGTTATTTAAGTATTTTTGAGAGGTCGAAACTGCTTCTATTAATCAATTTTTGTAATCTTTGTTTTACGGTATACCTTCATTGTGATTATTGAACAACAAATTGGATTAAAAATTCAAGCTTTTCAAATTTAAAAAAAAAATCCCAAGCTAATCGTATTACCAGGAGGAACTTGTCAAACATTTTTATACTAAAAATGTCCCTGATTTTTCTTCCGATGATTATTGACCAATAACTAGTTAATGTCTCTTACATTTTGCCTGAAACAGTTTCCTTTATGTTCATTGACCATTATCTTGACAATTCTCAATTATCATTAGCAATTTAATTTTGTTGTTCTAAACTTTTGAAAGTTGTACATTGTTTTTAGGTATGTATTTTCAGTACCCCCGTATTTTAAATCTTGTTAGTGTTAAACTGAATTTTGCTATTTGAAAGTGCGCCAAGTCCTCTTGTCCCCCCCCCCTTCCCTCTTTTTTTATTTTTATTTCCTAATAGCCGTTTGCCCAATAACATTTTTGACAAATTTTTACCAATCATATCAACTGCATTGATTTACAAACAAATAAATTTTTATCATTCTTCAGGCTCATTTAAACTTCCGGTTATTAGCTGTTTTCACCTCCATTTGATTCTTGAAAATTACGTCCTTTCGAATGGCATTATTCATTTCCCTCGAGGAGTTTTTACGAAGTTTTTAAGTTTAGTCTTTACTTTTATATTTTTATATGGCAAGCTTCCAACTTGTTTTTTAACAATTTGTTTTTTAGTGTATTTTCCGAAGAAAATATTTCATTTTTTACCTGATCAGATCATATATTTTCTAGAAATAATCTACATAGACATCACATAATTATCTACCTCAGTTAAACATTTACAGTTACGCTATCTCTGCTTTGAATTCTTTTTCATAAGGAAGTGGTATGTTTTTCTTTTTGTTCTTTCCTTTATTAGAATATCTCCTTTATAGAAATCTGTATAAATCATTTTTAGTCACAGGTATTATTTAAGGATCTTAAAATATGAGATCTTTTATTTATTGAAAGTGTGTTGATGTGTGCTCAGTTTCCCACATCACTGGTTCAGTTAATCTTACTTATTTTCAACCGCAAAAAAACCATGACAATAAATTGATGAGGAACCCAATTAATGCATTAATCCTTTAACGTTTTGGAAACCAGAAAAGTCAAATGTCAGCATCAGAATTTTAGTTGCAGATGAGAATATCCACAGAAGCATAGGTCGAGCAAGACACTTAGTACACTCAGAGTGCTTATGAGTCCCAAGAGCAATGATCTTAGCGAATTAGGTAGCTCTCGGGAAGGCTCTTATACGAACACTTTAAGTATTTGCTTCCCAATGTCGGAGACTTTAAGATGATCGTGCCATACCTTTCACTCATTTTTTCTTCTCGCTCTAAATCATCCCATTATTGCTGTCAGAATAATGCACAATGTGTTTTCATATTCCCTGCTCAAAAGGGAGAGTTTGACCTTACTTATTTGGGGTGAATCCCACTAAAGATAACCAAAGCTGTGGTGTTTGGACCTAGAAATCGAGAATCCATCATGGCATGAGAAATCATTAGGGAAATCAAGGAATCAATGTTTAGAACTGGGAAGTTTTTCTCTTTCCGCTCAGAAACTATTTTGATTTTAAATTTAAAGGTTTAAGGATGACTTAGCACTGATAATCGGCAGGAAGATGAAAAACTTCATAATTTTGCTCTGGACCACGGAAAGAAATCGAGGTAGTTTTCGTCAAAAGTATCCAGGAAAATAGAATAAAACTTTGGGGCCTTATCAAAGAATTTACCCCTGAAAATGAGGGAACGAGAAAATTGAAGAAATCCATACACCATGGTCAAGGCAAAACAATTGTTTTAGGGTTGACTCACCGCTAAACCTCCGTCCTCAACCTTGCAACGAGGATTAGCATCTATGATAAAATGTGGCCTGTGCCCTGGGCCCAACCTTGTATGCATAATGTAAAGAAATCACTTGGCACATCTTCATCTATGATACACATGGCTCCTTTGAAATAAAAATCCAAGTGTGTCATCTTGACTTCAGTTAGTTTTTAAGATTTGAACCTCAGGTTTATTAATATTTAATAGATAACTCATAGAAGCAGTTGGGAGAATGTGACTTCATGACTGATTAGTGAAATTTCTCAAAATGCCATACAATGGTGGTTTCAGCATCAAATTTTCAGCTACCGCACAGTTATCCCATCTTCCCCCTACTAGACAGATATTCTGTACACCCACCATCATCTTTGTTGTACCTACTGAAAAGCCTTTTCTACAAAGGAAAAAGAAGTTCCTTTCCTGAGCGATTAATTTCAATCCAAAACGATCAACTGGAAACATTGAACTTCTTCAGCCATGTTTTCCTGGGTTAATCAAATCTTATAACCTTCCCCCTCCCTCCTTACTTTACTTGTGCATGCAAATCGCTATCTAAAGTACTCTCCAGTAGTTTGAGAAAGCGGGCTTTGGAACATGCCATGCCATCGGGTAACCTTTTCTGTGGTATTTTATGTAATGTTCTATCTTATATTTTCCTGTGTTATTTGGCTTTGAATGGCAAGGAGGATCAGGGAAAAACTTCAAGACTCCTTTTTATAAAACTAAAGCGTACAGCACCAGTTAACTTATAACACATAATTCAATGACCATTATCAACATTTCAAAGACTGCACATTTTTTTGCTACCTTTGCATCAAAAGATATTTTAGGTCAACGCTCTAATCATATGTTAACAAACAACTTTGACTGTCACTGTAACATATGAGTTGCCCTCTAAAATGGTCCATAAAATAATTTGAAACTCGCCTCCCGTTTTCGTTAATTTGGAGTTTTCTCAGGTTTTGACTTTTGATTTGTTCTGTTATTATTTTTCTTTTTATTTTTACGGACTTCAAGTCCTGCCCAGTTATCTTCCAAAATATTTCCTGTAACTTAGCTCTTAATTGTACATGATTTTCACTGTGTAATACTAAAAAAAAGAGTGAACTCATAGAGAGATGCAAGCTGTATGCTCAAATTATTTGTTATTAGTATTGCTCTCAGGAAAAATTACGCCTTTATCAGTTTGTTTCTTTTTTTTTTGTTTGTTCTTTTTTTCCTTTGTAAAATCGATATTAAAATACTCATGAACTCGCTTAATTTGTTTTAAGTTACTGCTTATCTCAATCATTAAAATTACCCTTCTCTGAATTCGTGGTCATTATTTGCCATACTTGAATCAGTCAGTCTTCAGACTACTAATATTTTCAATCTCAGCTGATTTCTGGCTAAAGTACGATATAAGTTGATGGATAATTCACGAGCTATTAGCATGAGGGAAAATGTATCCTGAAAGTGATGTCAAAATATGTAAAAGAAATGTTTACCTCCTCTCATCTTCACGAATTATCAATGGTATTCAAAAATGCGAATCTAGGTTGGAATGTCTTCAAAGAATTGCGCAAGTTTTATTTCTTTTTTTTTCAAGTAAAAACCAATCAGTATTTCTTAATACTCATTAGGATTTTTATATTGTATTTTTTGTGGAACAAAAAAAAATCAGGAAATACTCAATTTCTCCTCAGAAAATACAAAAAAAGCGTAACTCGGTTGCGGAGTTTCAAAATCTTCACTCCGATTATACTTTTCAATAGGAGACAGACTAAAATTTTAAAAAAAAATGATGTTCAGTAATTTTCAATGTAGAAAATCATAGATGGTCTGTAGAAAATAATGTATAACAGCGAGTCTACAACGCCTCAAATCAAGATACGAATTTCTGCAGTTACACCGACAATATGTTGGTAAATCTGAAACATCTCATTAAAGAGACATGTTTTTGAACTTTCATCAGCAAAATGTGATCATCATATTTTTCACGATATCACCAACTGATGTATCAGTAGAGATAACATGAAGGAAACACTTGAATAATTGGTCTTCAGAAATTTGTTCCATAAAAAGAAAACAAAAAAGAGGAGTAAAGGAAAATGAGCTAAGTATAATAGTACTAAAAAAAGGAACAGTCGCTATGGATCAGTGCAAGGTTAGAGAAAGATTTGAAAAATAATCACCAATACTTTTACAAGATTATTGCTTTATTTAATGTTACAATATTAAATTATTTGAATTGCTTTCATAATCTTATTCATGGAAAGAAAATTTTTGAAGTCCTACTTTCACTCTCGCCATACACGCAGTCACACAATAAAATCATACACAAGATAAATTTCCATTTCTTTTAAAAAAAAGGAAGAAAAAGAAAAGTAGTATTGTACAAAAACCTTTCTACCTCCATCAACATGGTGAAAAGGCAATGCAACTCAAATTTGAGTTTAAACCTGCACAAAAGTTAAACAAATGGTAATGATTCATTTAAAAATAACGAATAGAAATAAAAGTTTTTCTCTACGTAACAATTGAATGTACATAGTAACTTAAAATACATTCTGGATAATTTTTTATACTTTGAAGGCAATCTAATTACATTTATTTTCTTTTGAAGGGAAGATGAAGGATTCCGAATAAAATTGTTCACTAAGCTATGACAAGTACAAATAGGACGGATACAATTGCAAAAGCTTCTGATAATAGTATCGGCAACCTAGGAAAAATTGCTAAAAATTTATGATGGCACTTTAAAAAAAAGGCTTCAAAAATCTTTCTACTATCAGGAAAACACATTACAATTCTTTCAACTAATACAATAAATCACAAGTTGTTTTTTTTTATCAAAGAAGATGCTAAATTGGAAAAGATATGTTTGAAAAATTAAAGACTGAGACGAACACAGATAGAATAGATTCACTGGCATTGATGAGAGAAATACATGAAGCCAAAACGGCAGCATTTCCATACATAAGAAGTTCCTTTTAAAAAAATTTCAATTCCTTTCAAATAATAAAACTGGATTTGTCGGAAATATTAATACTGCTTAGGTTAATGGAATGTAGAATAAGAGGAGATAATAAAACAGAGATCACAATTTCAATAATATCACTGGTTTCTCAGCCGTTGACGCATTTCAGAGAGGCACTGATTATAGGCCTCAAAGAGTTGAGTTCCAAAGGACCTGACCTTCCTACTGGTGAAGGAAGTATAAATAATGGATACGGAACTTGAGAAAAAAATTTACCTTGATTCATTCACACTTTTTTGTTTTACATGAAACTCTGAGCAACAACATACATAAAAAAACTTCAGTAAGTTCTCTTCTCTGCAAAATTGATTCATGTTCCTTAAAAAAAGAAAAAAAGAAGAAAAAAAAATTAGGAATAAAAATTTGGCAATGAGATATGTAGTTTTCTAATTTCACAATCAAAATGATGATGTCTTGAAATAGCCTGGAGAATAAATCAAGGTGTTCTCTCTTTTCTGGAAACAGCTGTCCCAGACTTCCAAGCTTTTCCACACCAAAATTTCTTTAACTCCATGACCTTTCTACAGATATTAATCTCAAACTGGTAACAATAAGCTAAGATCATTTTAACTGATTCAGCAAGTATGTACAATTTTGTTTTGAAAGTTGAAGTTACCAATGAACTGATTACTCTTCTTAACATTTCAAGCAATTCATATTTTTTCCAGCTTTAGCTACTGAAAAGAATGTTCTACTTAGGACTGGAATAATATCAAGGAAACGATGAGATGAAACTTCATTGGTGCAGGTTTATAACTTGTATTACATTTAAATTAAATTCAGGGAAATTTCTAAACCGACCATGTAGTTTCCAATTGGTGCACCCTTCAAAACTCTTCAGAAAAGACATGGTCCTTTTTCTGAAACATGATACATGTTGGGAATGTTAATAACAGGATAAAATAGATCAAACTTTTAACATACACAACTGCCACCTTAAAACACAATGAGGCACAATGTGATTACAACGGAGTATGCGACAATAAAAAATTGCAACGAGGAATTATGTTCCAAAATTGGAGGGGAAGTCAAGCTATTCTGAACGACTTATGATGAAAACAGAACTTTAAAGTTGTAATATGATTCCATTGCATTTGAATTGTTTCCCTCAACTAAACTTTAACCGAGTTAGATGATGAGAAATTTGTTATACTGTAAACCCTGATGTTAAATTTATCATTTTCAGATACAAGTCAGACAACCTTATGGAGACAACAACAACTATATGGATTAGTTTTTCTCTCTGTTCTTCTTTTTAAATGTATATTATTTCTTTCTCATGTCCTTATTAATAAAAATGTGAGTATTTTGAAAAAGGTTGCAAAAGTCAGCATTGATGCGAGAATACAGTTAATCCACCTGATTTCTACAGACCCACCGGCAAATGTATATTGTACAAAGCCATGCATTCATTTCCGTCTTAATGCTTTGAATATTTTTCATCTGTTCCCTGCTGCAAACCCTATTACTAATAAAAAAAGAAGATACAATGATGAAAAAGAAAATTGAGATGAATTGTCAATGAAATGTTGATCGCTCAGATCAAAACTCAGCGTCTTGCAAATAAGACTACACATAAAAAAATTGACTGCAATGAGTCTTCATAAGGCTTCCAATGCATTGCGATTGGCTCATATAAATGAGCTTCCTTAGAAAGAAGCATTCACAGCAACTAGTGATTCTTACATGTAATTAATACACAAATAAATTTACAAACTTGTCAATTAAGATTAAGATGTCTATTGGACAACAATTTAAAAATATGACACAATTCAGGCACATTCTCAGAGGGAGGAAGGAGCATTCAGAAATCAGCAATATTTTATACAGTTATGATAACAGTACAACCTTGTCCTCTCCCGTCTCCTCTTAAAATAAAATTTTAAATTTCGCACAGCACAATGAAACGTAAAAGAATGGCAGAAAAAATTGAAAAATGGGCTTGCGATAAGATGCTGAGAAAAACAAATTGATTGGCAACATGGAGGTCTGAGATGGGCAAACTTCAAGGACCATCAGAAAATTTGAATTTGAAATCTAGTATTAATTCAAAAACAAATATGACATCATACGAATTCTTAAAGGCACTAGTGGAGTAACATTTTTCTTACTTGACCATTATTTCATTTACAATTTTTTCGGAATGCAGTAACAAAAAGGAGATGTTGTTAGCTACAAATCATATTTTAGACCTTTCAGATATCTTTGCGTGTAGGCTTATACTTCGTCTTAGAAACCAAATTTAATGGTTTTAACAGTCAACTTGGGAAACTACGCAAAAAAAAATTTAAAAAAATTGTCAACACCAATCAGAAATCGGCATGACTAAGCTTGTTGACCAATTACAAATACTTCTTAGAGACATGATTGGGGAACAGATATTGCATCAAAGTTTAGAAGAGAAAATTTTGTAAACAATTTTGGCTTTGATCATACTATGGGGCGATCAAGGCCTTAAAATCTGTAGCATTGTCAAAAACAGTTGTAAAACAGGACCTATCCCAATGATGATATGTAGACCAAGAGATTTTGACAGGCTCATTTTTCCTTGCAATAATTTTCATCAAAAAATAATTAATACGTCTTTTGAATTATTTAAAAAAATTTGTCCTGTTCAGTTTCAAATTTCCTGATGATGGATTGAAAAATAGTATGTTAGCCATATTCAAAATCATTCAAAACTTAACCAACAAAGAGCATTAGATTCGTGGAGGTAAAATTGGAAGGATTTAATTTACAAACAAAAGTTACAAACAAATTTACCAAACACAAGTGAAAGGATTTCATAGAAAAGTACAGAGCATTAAAATTTAATACAATGAAATCTGAAACTGGGATCAAATAATAATAAAAGAAAGAGAAAAAAAGGTGTATCAAAGATAATAAAATTGGATGATCCATTCAAATATGTGGCGAGGCAAGTAGGGAAAAAGCACACCAAAAAGGGAACTGTTTCAAAATTCCATTTTCAATTTTTAGACGGAACAAATTTTTCCCTACTAGCTTGCCGAGAATTTTCTATAAATTAAGGTAGGAAATAAGCTTTCCTTGAGCATTAATTTCAATAAAGCAAGAGTTAAATCATTTTAATTTTCTCTTGGATTTTAAAGTATCAAAAAAACATACATTCAATATACTCAAAGACACAGATGGTGAAAATAAAGTGAATATTTTCAGGGTATGTTATCAACTGTATGTACAAAAAAGAAAGGAAAATTTTGAGATAAAAGCTATGTAGAGGTTAAAATTTGTTTGAACAGAGTCAGTATTATTGGAAAAAAAAAATAAATAAATAAATAATAACAGGGAAGCTCTTTGGCAAAACAACCCATATGACAACGTTTTGAGAGCAACGTTACAATAGGAGGGGACTGCAATTCTTTCTCCCGAAATCGAATCTATTATGCAATATTTTTTGGACCAGCTATTTTGAATAAAGTTACAAACCATTATGCTGCAAAACTTTATTTTTATTTACAAGATAACCCTGAGGTTCTTAGCACCACACTGCACTACATTCTGTAAAAGGTGCTTTGTAGCACAATCATTTCTAACTGTATTCTCATTTTCAAATTTTTGCAAATTCTTCAACACTGCTTGCTTGACACAGATGACGATTGTTGTATTGAAAATGTTTAAAACATTTATGAAGAAAAAAATCACCATGAATGCATGCTTTTCTGATAAATCTATGGAATTAAGTATCTCAAAAAAGACTAGCATGGAACCAGTCCTTTCTGAGACCCCAAATTAGAAGAAATTATTGAACAACAAGATGTTTTTAAAGTAAAAATTCAATGGGAGAGCTAAAACTTAGCAAGTTCTGGACTAATATATAATCAGCGGTCATTAAATCATAAAATATATCTGATACAAAACTAGAGGAATAATTTTCGTGTTGAATATCCCTCGGAGTTGATATTCTGGTAAGCAAAACGATCAACTTACTGCAAACTTAATACAAAGCAGTCTTATTTTATAGTAATCTCAGGTAACAGTCTCTCAAAAGCTGCAAAGATCCACCAAATACTCGCAAAGGCTCTACCGAATGCGTGAATGCTATATTTTTGGCCCGTTGATCGTTGGCGAATGTTCTCGTATCGTGACATGAGTGACAAAAGGTCCATGCTGCTTCCGCTGGTAAATCATATGGTTCTGAGGTACTTTTTGTTGATTGTTTCCATAATAATTGCTGTACAGTTGATGCTGCCTTCCTGGACTATGAGAGTAGTTTTTAGCTGCAAAATGGAAAAATCTGGTTAGTTATGTAAGGAGAAAGAAACAAATCGATGGTAAAGCTACCAAACCGTGGATCCTAATTTGCATCGTTGCAAATCACCTGTCGTGTTTCATCCAATAGAAGGAGACCTCATCATCTTTCAGCCAAAGTACCATGAACGCTATTTTTGCTTGGGCACTATGTTGCCACATTTCTCGAAATTGTACAATTTTTTGCAAAAAAAAGTAGTGGACAGAATTGCTAGGAAATTTTAAATCAAGATTAATCCCTGAAATTTTCAATTCATGAAAGTATCTGCAAAAGTTTTAAAGAAAAAATTAAAAATATATTGAGATATACATCAGCATAGCATCTAAGTTTAAATGATGCCTGTGATACTTTGTCCGGAAGGTAATGACTGAATAATCATTTTTACATTTTTGCACAAAATTTTGGTTCATTTGGTTCATTTGTCTTCTTTCTTTTGGGAATATTCTCTAAACATTTTGCACAAAAATGTTGAATGGTCTCAATTTGAAAAAGATAAATTTTGAGCGGACATTTCTAACCACTGCAATGAAGATCTGTGGTTTAGTATGTTCATCATCAAAATGCAACAGCTGACGGAAAGAGAGACCTTGAAGCGAGGAGACATGTTTTTGATAGATTGGGTTGAAAGATCGAAATTGGGGTTTTCAATTGAAATTACTCTCTCTAGTATCTACAAAATATGTTACCAGCTTGTTAGTCCACTTTAGTAAGTAAAATTGCTCTTTTATACATAAATTTTCATTTCTGAACATGGCAGATTAAAACTTCCGCTGATTTTTCTTCAAAACTTCATTTTTTGAGGGGCAAACTTTACACAAACATGACTGGTTAGGTTTGACATTTCTGGGCACTTGGCGAATCAAATCTTCATAAAATGCGTCCATCCAGCAGAGATACCTTTTTTCTTTGTTTTAAATTATTCAGCACTGTGATCTCTTTTACCAAAAACAGTCACTGCTAATGAAATTGGCGATAGCTCTGTGTGGACTTTTCATAGATTAAATGGCACAAAAGTTGCATTGAGCGCATTAGAAATGTTTAAAGTATACCCCAAAATACACACTTTGACATTCAAGCAAAAATTGAAAAGATTAAAGAGAATTTATAAAAATTTCTTTTAATTTTTATTTAGATTGTGCATTTTCATTAGGCCCCTATGGGATAAGGGCACTCTTTACAGCTCCAAAAATCTAATTGTGGAGTAACAGTTATGCACATGGTTGATAGGGAGCGCTGTTATTGTTGCAATCAACAGAGACCAAAATTTGACGGGTTTCAATTTTGCTGTTTCCTTACCCATCTTTCTAGTACAGCAGGAATAGTTTCGTTAGAACTTTTCAAGATAGATAAGCATTTAAAACTGAGGAAAAATTGAACTTACTACTAATAGACCCAGATGGCATGTGATGACGTGGGAGAGAGTTGGAGTTGATATCAGAGTTCATGAGCGATTGAACACTTTCGTATTCGTAAAAGTTTGAAACCGGTCGATGCGTCAGCTCTTTGGGCTCCCGCCTTTGCGAGTGGTAATGTTGCTGTCGCCGACTGAAATTAAATAAGGACACAAATTATGAAAAAACAAATAGGTATGCAAATCATAATCGTCAAAAATGATTATTCACAAAAATTTACATCTTTCAGCCATATACAGTTGTTCAGAAGCTTCCGGTCCTTAAAATGCTGAGTTCTAGAAGACATCTGTGAAGAAAGATCAATGTGCCTCATGCAAACATTTATTAGAAATGAATCGAGAGTACAATTTTTGAATAGAGTTTGGAAAACTTCAAGGTTATTTATTGGCTGATTTGGATGTTACTTTTTACGTAAGTATTATCATTTTATCATTGCTGACTTTGCTGTTGTTTTTGACACTAAACACTGCCGTAAACTTGTTGTGAAGAACAATACACCATAAGTAAAGCAATTTTGACAGGGCCGGTGTAGTTTTATCGATAGAGGCATTAAATCAGAAGTTGTTATATTGAGGCTTTACTGTAATTTTGAAATTCAGCTCTCGTTAGATGACAATATTAAAAATTTGGCATAAGTTAATTGACCTCAAAAAGTAAACATTTTTAAATGCTGTAAATGAAGAGGACTTGAAAATTCGTTCTTACTTTAAATGTTGTTGGATTTCTTTGTAGTTGACATAATGGCTGAACTGACGACAGTCAGCGATGCCAGATCTGCTCCCTGGTCTGTTGTTTATCACGCCTTCATAATCATTTCCTTGCTCCAATCGCTGCTTAGGGGGAGGAAACAACAAGAAACATAATGAATAATAATTTCAATACGCCTGACAAGGTGAGGGGTCTACAAAATTCCTTGAGCTTTCCCTTGTAAGGTGATTGTTGGAATTTGGTAAATGTACATTGGACAAGACTAGCCTGTGGTAAACTGAGATCATTCGATTAGTCCATTCCCTAGCCGCGTGCCCTCTTGTCCACGCCTTTTTTGGGATGAAAATTTAACTGGCTGTCAGTCACTAAGACGATGCTGTTATTCTGTCGATTATTAGGTATGAAAGACACAGAAAAGAAAGAGTTTCACACATATGGAAGGGAATCCACAAATCACATGATTCTATTCCACCTTAGTTTAGTCTTGTCCAACAAACAAATATACAATTTCAACAATCAGACTATAGACTTGTTTACAAATGGACCATTCGAATTTTAGTTTTCAGAGAAGCCACAAAATGTCCTGAATTAATGATGTACATTAAGGCTACTGTACGGAATAAAAAAAGATAGTACATTGAAAAGACCCAATAAAAGTTTCTATTGAAGTGACCCGTAAATCGTTTTCTCTGACGATAGGTTTGAGTTAAAAGCAGAGTAAGGTCAGCGCACCTGACGTAATGCTTGGTCGTAATGTTCCTCTCGTTCATCAAGAGGATAGTGGCCCTGTCGCTCCATATGACGGCGTTGATGCTGTTCCCTTAGTTGCTGGATCCTCTCTGTGCGCGAACGTGCTTCCATCCCTCCGTCCATTTTGTTCATGTTATTCCCATTGCTTGATGAATAACTACTGTTCAACTTGTCAGTTGGAGATGTCTGCATTGCTTGCTGATTTTCACAAAAAAAAAACAGAATAAACTTAATTAATAATACTGACATTTTCTCTGGTTTCTTGGTTCTTTCATTGTTCAGGACCTACAGGCAAGGTACAAAATGAATCATTACAATTTTTTACTTCTAACCCTGTCTAGTGCCCCATTTTTTGTTGACTTTATCTATTATGAACTTATATAGGACAGATATGCTCCAGATTCATCTAATATATTCCATGCCAAGCAAGTAAAAGTGATTCTCAAGTACAGATGTTGCCGAAAAGATCTTCTTGAACAGAGGTTTATTGCTGTCACATTCCATTGCCAAGAAAACACTAACACGCAAAACGCAACGGCAGGGAACATGTTAAATACATGTGACTGATGAAATTTACGGCAGCAATTCTCACACTAAACTTAACCAACAAAACTGCCATACGCAAGGTGGCTAAAAAAATTTAGAATTGACACTTCCTGATCCCCCCCTCCCAAATTTTAAGGAAATTCCTGACCTTTGAGTCGATGTATGATAGTTAATGATAATTTCAAAATTCTTTGGTCCAAGTAGGAGACAAGCTGAGTACCACTTATAAAATTTATCCACTTCGGTGAACGAGACTTTACCCTGAATTTTCCCAATTTCCTAGATTTTCCTTAACTGTAGCCATCCTGGGTTTAGTCAGAAAAGCTCTATGTAGCCGAGTAAGTTAACAATTTGCATTTCTGGAGTCACTGAGAGGTGATGTTCCAGGCAACTCGTCATGAGCGATGAGCTTACTACGGGTTAAAAAAGCAAAAAATAAAGGTTTATGAAAATAGGGATACTGACTTGTTGTTGCTCGTTTTGTTTTTGAATGAGCCGCTTGTATTGCTCCTGGATTCTGATCTGTTCTTCGCGGGCAGCCCTCCGAGCGTTTTCACGCTCTTCTTCTAGGGCACCTCCTGGCTCCCTACTTCCAATACCAAGATGGGAAGCTGGTCCAGACGAATCCATGGATTTCCTGTGCTTCCCAAACCTGCAAAAATATGACAGTTTAATAATTGCAGCAAAGAGGTACTAAACTGGTCATTGAAACCAACAAAAGCTTAAAGAGTAATTCTAAAAAAAAAAAAAAAGAAAGAAAAAAAAAAAAAATTAAAAATTAAAAATTGAAAATTGAAAATTGAAAAATCGCTCAAAAATTATTTTAATGAAACGAAAGAATGCAAGTTCTGTTGTTAAAATAGATCAGGTTATCAGGATCTCTCTCTCGGAAAATGGAATTGACAGCGACTAAGAAAGAGTGCCTATAAATGCAGTAAATTTGAAAATGCACAATGAAGGCTATGCAAATCATGCGTTGAGGAGTAGATTTCTGGCATTTTTAATGTTCTGAACGTCACTGACACGCGATTTTACCGCATAGAGTTCTACTCAATTGGGTGTACCTCTGGTGTGCAAAAGACCCATTATATGGCTTACCCATTCAAGTTGGCAAATTTTTCCATGATGCTTTGGTTTATGGGTGACTTAGGCGGAGGAGCAAAAACGCAACTTTAAAAAAGGTTGTCAGAGACATTGAAAGAGAAGTTAAAGTAGACCTTCAGAGATCAATATCATGTACATCACAACGCTCTAACACTCGAACCGACCTGTATACTTGGTCTCTTATTTTAGCTCCACCTATAAAGGCTTAGGTGATTAATATTAAGTCTTAGGCAAAAATCCTCAAAAAAATACCTGAACATTGATCCTATTCCTTTGAGAAGACCTGCTTTCTTTTTACCAGAGTTCTGTTTCATCCTGTTGAATTCTAGTGAAGCATGTGATTCTCTCTCATCTTCTGCAACTGTCAAAAGGAATACATTTAAGATAAAATCTTTCAGTGACAAAAATTCAACAGCTCGTTTAATATTCTGAATTTTCAATTAATTAAACATTAAGAAAATGAAAGTAATTTTTCAACTATACTGATTATTACTTAAAATTCTTTCCTACTTTCACTAACTTGCAGGGGAGAAAATGTAGAAGAAAATATTATTTGGTTCTACATCCTACTAATTTTGCAGATATTTACAGTTTCCTTCACTGAAGTCACTTCATCTCTAGGGAATAAAAATGTACTTTTTAGTAATATGCTGAGAATTAAATTTTTGTGGTCTGGATCATACTGAAACCCTCTTAATTTGAGGAGTAGCTGACTTTAGAAAATCAAATCTGCACTATCAATTTTTGTGGTCTGGATAAAACTGAAACCCTCTTAATTTGAGGAGTAGCTGACTTTTGAAAATCAAATCTGCACTTGTGGCCCACTTTGTGGTCTGGATCATACTGAAACCCTCTTAATTTGAGGAGTAGCTGACTTTTGAAAATCAAATCTGCACTATCAATTTTTGTAGTCTGGATCATACTGAAACCCTCTTAATTTGAGGAGTAGTTGACTTTTGAAAATCAAATCAGCACTATCAAATTGATACACCGCCACAAAAATATCCGAGAACCACTTTTCTAACCGTCTCAAATTCAGGTAAATATCGCAGCAACTTTATAAAAAAAAAATAATACACACAAGGAAGCAGGATCCTGACTACAGCGACAAGGGCATACACTCTGGTGCAATGGAGGTAATTTCTAGTTCCACTAGGAGCCTGGAGATAGGGCATTGTAAAAATCGAAAACTTCAAAATGACTGATTGTAACTGATTGGAAACTGATTGTAAATGCTCATCCTGAGGGGGCAGGAATCAGTAATGGTAATGATTAAAAACCCAAAAATTTGGTTCATAATTGTTACACCTATCTTAGATTTTTTCATTATATTTAGATAGACTGTGAAGTCCGAATTTGGAGAACGTAGCAAGAGAGTTACTTACGAATATCCATTTGAAGTTCATGGGGAAGCGAAAAGGGCGTGTCATAGCTACGATCAACAGCTGCACGAAAACTTTCATTGCAGCCACGACCTCGAATTACCCGCACTGAGCCTTGACCAGTTCGATGATAAACCTCACCATCTTCAGCCATCTGAATCTGGAATCGAACATGAATGATAAATGAAACTTACTATACACAGGAATTAAAAGCATACTTCAAGAAGACTTACAAGGCTGAGAAAATATAATCATTAATGGTCATCATATTCGCTGATGGCACTTACAGAATAAAGCAAGAATTACATAACTGACAACACTGTCTCATGGTTGGTTGTAAAATAACTTAAACATCAAACATTGAAATTTGCAGATACTTACTCCATGAACCATGGTTTGCAGGGATTCCAAACTAGATGATTTTTTCATACCAAGGGAGGGACCCAACTGTTTCTTTGGCACTGATTCTACATTATCTATAACAAAAATATGATAACAATAAACTCAGAGGTCTTAGGTTGATGTTTGCCCTGGAGGCATGGACTGCCACCGGATAGGCAAACTTTGCAATGGTAGACTATAAATACTTTCTGCCTGAAGTCCTGGATTACAGAGCGATAATGATGAACTCACAGCAAATGAAAGGAGGAAAATACTAATGCTTACAAAAAAGAAGAAACCTCCTTTCAGCAAAATGTTACTTCACTAAGCAGAAACAAATTTTGGAGCATTGTAATCAAGATAAGTGTTTTTGTAATCTCACCGCTGATACACAGCTACTAGAACTGCCAAGTAATAAATTAATGATGCATACTTTAAATTATTCTTTTTCATGCCGTTTCTTGACTCAGCTTCATATCCTTACTACGCTGAACTTATTTGAATGCCTTGATGCAAGAACGACTCAACATGGAAGTTAAAAATTCAACTTCGGAATCTCAAATCACAAAACAGCAAGGTTCGCCCGTTCCTTTTTTTTGGTATCAAATGAACATCCTCCAAAACTCCAAAAGGCTTTTCATTCAAAAAACAATGTTTGTTACAACCAAGTGTTTTTAGTTTCCAAGAAAGTTTTAACAGTTTTCCAAACAAGTCATTCAATAGTTATGTTCGGAACTTCCTAAAAAAGTTTGCAATTTCGTTATTATGTGATTTTTTTTTTTCAGCACTTTTTGTAATTTACTGTTACAAATAGCCCGAGCATCACTTTCAAGGGAGAAAATGAATTTTTGTACGCTCCTTTCAATTCGACAAAAACTGAGACTGATTGTGAGTCAAATGGCTGGCTGATTCATTGCTTCAGTGTTAAGACACAGGTATGTTGAAATGACTCAGTATAAACTCTAAAACCAAATACTAAGCCATTCACTTAACTCTACCTATCAATTATAAGTTTTTTTGGCATTTGATGTACTAGACAAAAAATTTATGGCTGAAGCTTTAGACATTGGTTTACAGGGACTTAGGGGGGACAGAAACTTTCAGAGCTATGAATAATACACAAAACGAATCATAACTCTTTTAATTCCTTCAGCAGGCCTTCCAAATGGATTATCATATGTCCATTCAATATCGCTGTGCATGCAAGAGTAGCATTTCCTTTGTTAAACATTGGATGCAATCTTCAAATAATCGTTTTTGGTAATTTTCGGAAGGAAAAGTTTGATTATTTTTTCCATGCATGATAAAGACTAAAAAGTTAAGGAGAGATGGAACTTAAAAGAAATTGAAAAACCTTCGGGCCATCACGCTGTTCAGGACGATTCCAAAACGTAAAAAAGCACAACAATAGACTCCTTATTATAAAATTTAAAAAAAGGGCAGAGGTGTAATTTTCAGCATAGAAATATTACTCTGCCACCACCGCTTTCAGGAGTGCAGAAATTTCCTGATCATTTTCTCTATATTTTGTAGTTATGGCAGCTTACGCAAATAGATGGGAAACTTGAAAACTTGGGAAGGGCAGCTTGTAACAGCATCAAAATTGCATAATCTTTTGGAATCCACCTGCTTTGTGTAGATTTACGGAGAAATTCACATATTTACAGTTGAAAATTTGATAACTGTAGTGTAATTGGCGAGTTTTTTGCACAATTACAACAGACGAAATAAGGGGGGAAAAGGTCATAGCTTTTATGAATTATGGGGGGGAAAAGGTTTTCAAAATGGGAAGGCTAAAAACTTTCTGCACCCCTGACCACTTGAATAATACATTAACAAAATAGCATCAAAAAAGTTTTGAAATCAAAAATGCTTCCCTCATTGAATATAAGCACACAGATGAAAGGAGATGATAGATAAAAGATGAAGTTACGTACGCTCTGATCTCGGAATCGACTCAGCGGAACTAACTCGGTAGACTGCTCCTGATGCATTAAAATAAAAAGCAATGACAGGCGTTAATGCAAGTGAAAGAAGGCATTAGAAAAAGGATGGAACATCAGCACATGAAGTAATGAATTAGTAAATTTCAACAAAACACAACAAGAAATTAAATTAGTTATCCCTCAACAATGCAATTTCATATATAAAAATAACATCACATTACATTGGTTCACCTCACTCAGAGATGGGTGGATTTTAAAGGTCTTTGTTGAGTAATATAAGAGAAATAGAGGCAATGAAACGTATGTGGATCACTCTTGGAATATTGGCTTATGGTAAGAGATTGTAAACATTCTTTCTGATCTTAGATATTTTGCCAAAGGACCTCGTGCACAATACCAAGAAATTAGGTGCTGGTTAAATTTCGATATTACGTATTTGATAAGATGTTCCTCACCACCTCATAAAGACAATAAGTTTATAACCTAACTTTCCATGTGCCTATCGGGAGAAAAGCAGGGCTGAAAAGAGAATTTCTCCGCCTCCTGTCTGCACCGCATGTTATAATTTGACAGAATTTTATTTTTTTCATTTGTCTTATCTTCTCAACCTGCTGGGTAAAAAAAACTCTCCACAATCACCGATAAGATATTACAAAATTTCTACTTGGTAGTTGTAAGAAGTTTAAAATACCAAAAGACTCACTTTTCAACTCCGCTTTTCTAGAGACAAGCACATAGAAAGTTTGATTTTAAAAGCTCATCACACTCAGGAGGTTGTCAGGAACACCATAAAATTGGAATTTAACTTGCGCTGAATTTCTTAGTATTTTGTGCATAATATTTTCAAAATATAGATCCATGAGAAATAAATTTGGAATACTTTGAGTCATCCTAAAAATCTCTCAACTCTTCTATCTTAGTAAGTCACATATTTAAAATACGTCAGCACATTATTCAAACTTGTAGACATGAATGCATCAGTGGCACAGTGGTGAAGCAAGGCAATGGGAAGAAACACCTCCAATCAAAAATAAAAGATTGTTTTCGCGGCAACATCATCCGCTGTATGAATGTTCAATGATTGTGATTTAATTGGCTTATTTTGTTTTTAGTACTCTTCAAAAGCAGATAAAATTCGAAAACGCTCTTGGAAAGAGCAGAAAACTTAGAGAGTGTAATAGAAATTGGTAATTTGATTTTTTTTTTTTTTTTTTTTTTTTTTTTCTTTTTTTTTTCCCCCTAAACATTCATGTCAAATACAGTGACCACAGAATCAGTCCATGATAGTTTCATACAGGTCAAAATACATTTAATGTCTCCAGGCAAGATTTACTTCTCGAAAATGCCTACTATTTTGCACTCAATAACCTTGGGACAGCCCATAAAATACCCAACCCAATTTTGTCAAGTTTTTGCTCTTTACTCACTTTCTTGCAACGTAACTGTGATGCAAATTTAGATCATTTATGATAAATACACAATTTTTGGTTCTCCTCAAACCTCAACACTCCAAATTTCACCAAAATGAAGCAACCAAATATTTGGTAATGACTCGAAAATGATACCATCTGATAACTTCATATTGACAGAAACTTGTCTCAGTACCAAATACCACCCTCCGGAGTTGGGTATTTTATGATCAGCCCCCTACTGATATTTAACTCTCTGACAGCTCTTTTTGACCAATAAAGCAGAATTCTTGATTAAATATGGAAATGCAGCAATGCAAAGGAGAAGGTTTGTAAAAATGTTGGCATTCAATAGGAACATTGACAAGGCACTGAATAGCAGAATGATTTTGATAGGATGAAAATGATCAGCATCACTCAAGACAGTTATTCCATCATGAAAATGAAAAATAAATTCCTGCATCATCAATTTCTTACGGTGATTTGAGCCAGATGAGTCATTCCATTTACCCTTCTCTCTTTCTTCACGCAGTTTCTTGTTGCGTTGGTATGTGTCAGTATTTTTGGCATCTAGCGTTGCGTGACGTTTTTCAGACATACTTTGTCGTCCAAATGCATCTCTTGAGAAACCTTTAGCAGCTTCCTCTAGAGATAATCTAAAATGAAAAGAAATCAAAACGTTACCGATTTCCAAACTCCACCCAGTCTTAAAGCTTGTAAAAGTAAGTAAATCCATTTTTTTAAGGATATTGTTAGTGCCAAATGGCATGTAGTGACTTTCCAACAGGTTTTTGAGCCTAAGATACCTATAGAAAAATCACTGATAGTGGCAAACTAAGAAATTCAAATGGATTTAAGAGACAGAGAATTTTTGATCCTCAAAGGACAGTTAACGTGGGGCTGTTGCACTCTTTTTCTTGAAATTAATTTTAGGAAAGTATATAAAAAAATTAGAATGCCTGCACGGTTTCTGTTTTTTGTGTACGCAAATTTTAGCTGAAAGAAAGGATTTCAAAGTCCCCAAAAATTCAGCCCCTTTGCAAACGGAAAACTATCGCACCAACAAATATCATGATGTCACAAGATAATCAAGTGTTCGGATAGATAAGTGTACAAAACAGTGGCTGTTCATTTTTGTAGCTAGTTCCTCAAGAAAATGGAGGCCTTATGGTCTGATACACCCTGCATAGTAATGTACACCTACATATGTAATGACAAGAGTATACTCACTGGCTTGCATACGTGATGTCTGTGGCACTACTGGTACTGTTTCGCTGTCTTTGAGGTTTATCACTAATGTTTTCTAATCCTTGTATTCTGAAATTAGAAAAAAATACCCGTAAATCATTTCCTCTGGAAAATATTAGTCACACTCTCATGTTAGGGCACTTAATTGCACTGCACACCAACCCTTTGCTAAAATTTTTGAATTAAAACCTTATTAGGGAGATACTGTTTGTATTAATTCTACTGATAATTGATGCGATTACTGGCATACAGAATATAGATGTTACCCCCGTGTTTGCCTACATGCATACGTGTTGAGTGTAACGAATGTTCATTTCATGATATTACAACTACACAGTTTTAAGTCTAAATCTACAAAACACAATTTTACAAAGGGCCACAGATAATTTCCTTCGTTTTGTGAAAATCTGAGAAATCAAAAGTTAGTTGCCCCGTACCTGCAACTAGTATTGATTCTTCTTGATTATCATGCCCCTTAGAATCTCACAGCTTTCCACAGAGACAATATTGGCAAACTCCACCAGTATGTAGAAAACCTTACGAATAAATCACCCCCCCCTCAGTAATTCTGGCACTGCTTTGTAAAAGGATCTAGGTTGAAAATTAAAAAAATAAGAAGGTATACCTTAACTTTTGATTTGAAGGGTTGAAAAAAAGTGAGGCTTACCGGTTGGATGGCATAGAGTAAGGGTTGTCTTCCTCAATTAATACAATATCACTGGATGGAACGTTAATGGTGGGGCTAGACATATCATCTTCACCACTTAACATTAGGGTTGTCTGGTGTGTTGCCTGCAAAAGAAACATTAGTTAAGCGGTCACTCAGGGTCAAACGATCCAAAAGGTCTGATTTTTCAACCCTCTGTGTTAGGATTTGTTGAAATTTTTCTACAAGTTTCATTAGTAAACAAAGTTTCCTGCATTTCAACCTCCTCTGGTTGAAAACTCTCGGTCAAACTCTCCATAAAAGGAGTAAAACTTTGATTATTATGAGGTTTTAGGATAAAACTCAATTTTAGAGATGCAAAATGATAAGGGGTTCATCGGTGTACTATATTAGAAAATGACGCAGTAAGAATGAAAATTTGAGAACAATACCATAAGAGAGTAAAAATGTTGAGAAACGTTATTTTCAGGGGCCAAGTTACGCTTAAGGAGTGTCGCGCTTTTGGAGGGTACCATAAACCCAAAATTTTTTGGAGAAAACACATTTTGGGCGATTACCTACCGATGTGAGTCCTCAATTTTGAAATTCTCACAAGAGTTCCTGTCACAATTGATCTGTTATCATTACTTTGCATTAATTTCTGCCATTTATTCAGATTCTCTCAGGCTATAATCAGATTGTGTTAGGCTAAAAATGAAGCGAAAACTTGAGGAAAAGGAAGTTCCACCTATGACCTTAAAAATTACCACAAAAAGATCGAGGAATCTGCAAGATTTTTACAGCCTGGTAGCTTAGATTCTCACGGTTAGTTCTGACTGATATGTGGTTCCATCTACCAGGAATGAGCTTGGAAAAAATTGTATGATTAAAAAGAAAATATCATAATTGCGTTAACCACAGCTGGTCATTCTGTTTCATCAAAGCATAGCAACAGATCGGACAAAAAATTTGAGGATTAAGTATTAAGGATCTTACCCTGTAATAACTTTGATTACGAAGACCATTATGATGAGTAGTTTGACCGGTCAGACGGTCAAGTACAGGATTCCTAAGAGTGATCGCATCTGAAAATGGTAACGCACACTATAAGCAGGAGCCAAAAAAGAACTGGTTTCACATTTACAGGCAGAGCTTACCAGAAGAAAACAAGTAGAACAGAGCTTGACAAGCTGTTTCAATCAATAATTCAATAATTCGTCTGCAGTGTGAAAGAATGTCTAAATTTGCAAGTGGCAAAAGGTTAATTTTGCAAGAGATACAAAAACTGATTTGCAATGGCTTGAGATGTCATGTAGGCCAGAATTGTGGCTCATAATCATGTGATACATTCACTAATGATATCTGAGTACATATGACTGAAACAGAAAAAATATTTTTTTTCTGCGAAAATTGGCACTTACGATCCTTTGCTTTGAGAGGATTCTATAGAAGGAAAGTGGTGCATGTGATAGGTTTAATTCATGCTCCACAACGCTTGTGATACAGATGTTTGCGCATAATCTTTGAAAGTAAACAAAGCCGAGAAAAGCAGAAGAGGCCAAGCAGACACAGTCTGCTTTTGCAAAAATTGGCCCTTGTGGTACTCAAATCCTCATCGTAATACATTCAAACATCATGGCGCGGTAGCCACCTCCGGACAAAGTCGAAACTCAGCAATAATGGAAGCAGTCTGAAGAAAAGGTGGCAGCCAACCATTAATACACCTAACTCCCTTGATGTGAAATATTTCTAAACTTCCGTAGCTTTTTTATTGAACTTAATAATTTTTATACAATTAAGAATTAAGGGAATCATTTCTATTAATATGAAACTAGTGATGCGTTCCCAAGAGGAAGACAAATTACTCGTTAATTTCTGTGATAATTTTAATTTCAGATGCAGATGATTTAGGGACCTGCCATATTCTGCTAACTAAAACCATAAAACAATAATCTGAAAAAATCCATTACCAATTTGAGGACTTATTTGATGTTTATGCGGCATGAAGATAACTGTGTTGTCAGAGTTTTCACTTGTTCCTGAGTTGTCTGTTGTTGTATGAGCACTATTTTCAGGGTCTGAGCGATTCGCACAAAACGTTTCAGTATTTGCTGCAAAAAAAAAAATAAAATAAAATTATGATTGCCTGCTATACTTCCATCAAATATTACTTAGCAAAGGTGAAAATGAATAAATAACTTGCGTAGGATATTGTGAATGAAAACATAAACTTAGGATCACCTTCACCTAGATCACTTTAAAATTCAGAGAAATTATTGAAGAAGAATCATTCTTTATCAAGGTTCCTTTAAAATAAATTACAACAAAGTTGATGTCATACTATAAAAGCCTTGACCGCGATGAATAGATCATGAATTCCAATGAGAGAAAGTCAAATTCTTGGATAGAACTTGCATCACATGAGCGGAGCGAGGGAGGAGGACGAAAAATCCAAAATTTAGCGTCACATGTTTTACAAACAGCCTAAGGACATAACCTGCTAGAGGTAAATAGATTACTAAACTACTTAAAGATTTTTAATTTGCCTGTTCGGAAAATCAGGAGGCTGTGAAATACGTACATGATGAGTTAGTAATATGACTAGATGCCGAATCAGAACGCTTGTGTTGCACTGGCGATGTTGAGGGTGAAGAATTGCGACGAGCGACTGTTATCGTAATAGCACCAGGGACTGGACCTTCTTCATGCAGCATGGCTGTACGCAACGTTTCCATGGCTGCAGTGTTGCTTTGGTGCAGTAATGAGATCCCATTAACAGATAAGAGTTGATCGTTGGTCTTCAGACGACCGTCCCGGGAAGCTGCTCCTCCATGTAGCACACTCTTTATGAAAATGCCTAGATCAGTACCTGAAACTAAGAAAAAAAATTCAAAGTTAAACTAGAATAATTCATTTTATGAAGTAAAGCAGGAAACTTTTTGTTGATGACTTGATAGACCTCGTTGATGAAAGATAATTTTCCTTCTTTTTACGGAGGACATCATCCATCAAAAATAAATTTTGATAACTCTATATTACAACCAAATGTAGTGGCCATAAGGACGGACCCAGGGCTGACATTCGTAATAGAATAAGTTAGGGATAAGTCCTTAATCACTCTTAGAAATAGAGAAAATCCTACGTAGTATCGCTTATGGCAATCATATTGATAAGGTAAAAATACTTGTATTGAATGTTTAGTTGTAGCAAGAGATGGTGCCTTGTCATTTCTCCATCACAGGAACAAATCTGAATAGGACTTCTCTTTTCCCGTGGAGTCGCTGTTGACTCAAAATCAATCTGTATATCCTCAACAAAAATGTTATCAAAAAATAAAACTACAATATAAGTAGCAGTGATAGAAAAGGCTTGCAAAAAGAAAAGCAGACTGGATTGCTGTTGCACTCTTTTTCTATTATTACGCAAACTCAGAATTTCAACAGCACTCCTTTATTCTTTGACAGAGCTTCTACGGATTTCCTGAATTGTCTTTTTATTTTGATTTTTAGGGAGCGCAAGCAGAATTTGGAACTATTAAATTCAATGGACCACTAGACAAGGTACGAATTTAAGCGATCTGATACATGTTTCTTAACCAGAATTTCACGTAGAAAACGATTCACACAACGAAAATTACGGAAACCAACTCCTAACGAAGATATTAACGTTTTTATTTCACATTGGTTACGAGGAATTTGAACTGCCCGCTCACAAGAAACTCAAAACTCTACGTGAGTCAAATCGCCCACTACAACGGTTTCAGCAAGCTTCTCAATCGAGCATAGTTCATTTCCCATCATGTGTTGTTCAAACAATTAGCAATTTGCTATAACTGAGCAAAAGCGTCAAGATTGAGGTTGCCAGATTTTTATATCGCAGAGACTGTCATGATAACGTTTAGCGCGCGATGTGAATCACGTAGAGCATTGAGTTTTCATGAGCGGGTGGTTTGAATTCACGCATTAAGAATCATTAAATATCTTCGTAAGGAGTTAATTTCGGTAATTTTCGTTGTGTGCATCGTATTTTACGTAAAATTTTGGTTAAGAAACATGTATCAGAATGCTGAAATTCGTACCTTATCTAGTGGTCCATTATCAGTTACTAGTACACAATTCCAGACAACAAATCAATCATTCAATTCAGGAAAATAGAGCCATATTTTTTTTAAACTTACCGTTTTTCTTCCCTGAATGGTTTGCAGAGGTCTTGCCTTTGACACTGACTCCTAGTCCGGCTTTCTCCGTGTCATGGACAGGTATATCGAAAGTCAAAATTTCCTTCCGTTTCCATGGTAGAGAATGACTGCGATCCAAAGAATTAGATTTTGATTTGCTATCACTCAGGTATTCAGATGACCTGTTAAGCTCTTGTTTTATTGAGTTCTTTTCAACGTCTGTTTTCTCGGATCTGTCGCTCTTCTCGACCCATCTGACATTAGTCTCTTCTTCGTTCTCCTCTCGTCTAACTGGTCCATGACTAAGGCGCTTGCTTATTAACTCCCTGTCTCTGTCAACACACAAATCCTGCAAAACAAAAAATAAGGATGTAAGAACCTCTGATGAAATAATACAGAAAATGAAAAGAAATGAAAACAGCAACTTGAGTCTGAATTCTCACACCAACTTGAGTCAGAATTCCTCACAGCAACTTGAGTCTAAATTCCTCATTCATCATTTATTGTTACTTCAATTAAGGAGATTATTTTGACATATTTTCGGTCACTTTGCTCAAGATATACCTGATTCAATGCAGCCATACAACATTCATAGGAGATTTTTAAGTGGATTTCAAAGAAATTGTATCTATTGCGTTCTGTTGCTAACTCAAAAGAATTGCGCTTGTTTTTTTCATAAAAATAAATTCAGATGTGTGCATTTAAACACTAGTAGATGGAGTTTCTAAAGAGTTTGTGCATATATATTTACTCTTCAAAAACACGTTTCTTGAGGCCACTACTAATCTAGCAGTTACTGCCCGATCTTGCTGAAGTTGGTCAACAGACTCCCTAGATTCATACTTTGGACATGTTGGTTGCTCTTAATAATTTGCCAAAGTTGTCATCGAAAAACACAAGTTCAGAGTCAGTTATTAGAGTCTCCTGTGGCTCCTTAAGCAAATATCCATTTTTTTAGGGTTTTTTCTATTTTTCTCTTTTAGGCTAACAAAGATAAGAATGGAAATAAATGATTAATCAGTCTTTAATTGATAAAACCTTATGATAGTTAAAAAATTAATGTATGATAAAATTTTAAAAAAACTTAATACAATTAAAAATTTGTTTTCATTGGCAACCACACCCTCAATTTTACTTCTCCTTGCAATTTAAATTTTACCCCTTTTACTTCTCTTCACAAAATTTAAACATGGGGCAAGACAAAATAGAAGAGGCAAAACTCACCCCTGAGCGTTGGCTATCATCTTGTCGAGAGACAACAATGCGAACTGTACTACCAGGAGGTGTGTTCCGCAAAAGACTGACAGCATCAGCCTGACTTTTGCCTGTAAGTTCAACGTCATTAACAGCCAATAATCTATCACCTGGTCGCAACCTTCCATCTTCTACAGCGGCACCCTGAAAACATTAAACCAGAGTACTAAGTAATCTTTTTTATTTAGTTATGAATTCACAGCATCCATTATAGCCAGATGAATTGAAGTTTCACTGAGAAGAAGATTAAGTCGTCAGCTTATGAGCAACATTTATTTTTTATTTTAAAAAAAAAAAACTTCAATAAGTTATTCAAGAAGTGTATTTTGCTAAAATATTCTATAAAATGTGCAAAATATTGAAAGCGTATAATACCTTGACTTTAAAGGGAGAGACACTTTCAATATAGATGAAAAAATTTAAAATTAAAAACTTAAGAACAAAAGATTCCTCTTCAAATACCTGCATTCTCTACTTCCAGTGTAAAAAAACGAGTGTCTGACGCACAAAGAACGCAATAGGACGTTCCGTAAGTCTCCAATACAAAAAAAAACAAATGATCAATTCGTCAAACGTTCGTAAAAGAAATGCTAAATGTTGAAAAATTCAAGCATTTATAAGTACGTAAATTAAGAAAAAAATTTCAAAATCAAGGAAATACAACAACTCAGAAATTTGATAAAAATTCAAAATTATCAAGGGCTTTTCAGGAATTATCACAAATCCTACTTGGTATGTCATACCTTGGGTAAAATATTCTTGATGTAAATGGGACAGTTCCCTCCAGCAGGATTATCTCTTGTTGTGATGCTGAAACCAAGTCCGTGAGGCCCTTTGAGCAGCTCTAATTCCATCCTGCGCCCGATTCGTCGAGTATTTGCTGTCATCAGCGGATTTACTGTTGGCTGCTGCACGTGGTTAAGCGAAAGCATGTTCGGCAATTTTTTGGTAGGCGAGACGGTTGCCATTTTGCTGTTAGCGCTTGCTACTGTCTCTTCGCTTTCCACCATTTGTTCACTATTGCTGACAGACCCTTGGTTCTCCTTGTTTTTCAAATTGGCACTGCTTGTGCTTGTTGGGAAAATAGGCGGTGGCGGCTGCTTTTTCCCTCCTTCACTAGGATTCTTTATCACCCGTAATCTTAGCTCAGGAGACTTCACAGAATCCCGGAAAATTTCTTGAACTCTGTAAAAAAAATAACATAATCGTGATGAAGAGGGACACCTCTTTTCCCAGTGAGACAGAGCTACATACTAACAGATCAAAAATCCTCTTCAGAGAGGCAAGAGTGAAAAATGGCGGGCATTATAAGAATAATCTAAAGCTCCGGGGACAAATCATTGTTTCCACTATTGTTTTCCAGGACCACAGATGTGGGGTCTTCAGCGGGGTTATACATCGCATTTTCTTGAAGTAAGTCTGAAAAATTAACCCAGTAGCTAGGTGAATTTTTCAGTTTATTTTCTTTTTTTCAAGATTCTCTTTTTCAAATTATTTGACTTTTTCGACACACTTTGTATGACATCTCCAGAAAACTGAAGGAGGGTCAGTTGGAGCCAGTTTCACATACTTTGCAAGGTACTTTTTAGCGTAGTAGTATGAAGTGTGACGGGGCATAGAAAAACGGGAGCTCCTAGTAATTTCACTGACTGTTTTTTCCAAACACTATACCTAAGTGTGCCATGCTAAGGAACGATGTTACTCTATCAAAAATTCAATGGTTAAAATTTTTTAACAAGGCTGTCATAACATATTACGTGGAGTGATTGGATATCATAAAATTGTAATTGGCGCATTGCGTGAATTAATTGGCCTTTTTTTCTTTTTTCGGAAATTAAAGTCACTCAGAGTGTAAATAGTCTCAGACAACTCTGCTATTAATGCTAAACAGCGGACAGGTCCCTCAAATAAACTTGAATTTCTCATTAATCATTTTCACTGCCTTTTCATTTATACTTTCACCTTCTTAGCTATAAAAGTGTATTAAGAGATCACCAAGAGCATTATAAGTATTTTAAACTGATGAAAAATTAAACTTCAAGAATAAGTCAGGCCTTAACTGCGAGAAGTTGAAAATCTGAAAATTGTCAAGTACCAAAAAGTGAAGGTTGTGCCATGAGAGTATGGTATGGGAAAGATGGATCCTGAAAAACAGTCAGCACTTCGGTTCTTTCAGCACCCCTAATTCAGAAAGATGAAGCATCCAATTTTAAAAAATTGATGTACTTTCACTATGGACAAAAATAGGGGTTGGGCAAAAACTAAACACATCATAAGTTGTTAATATCAACGGGAGTTAATAATACTTAGAAACTTACATATGAAAAGGTTGGCCGACAAGCTGCTTTCCATTGATCTCAACAATTTTGTCACCAACAGCAAGCCTACCATCCAGATCGACTGTGCCACCTGGTTCAATACCTTTGACTAAGAGACCTCTCTCTCCGCCATAGGAATCATAGTCTGGCACAACATGAATACCCAATGAACCACTGGTGCAATCTAACACAATGAATTCTTTCCTGAAAACAATAAAACATTTTAGTTTAGAAAATTTAATTTGGATATTGAGGAGATTCAGTGTTATAGAGAAGTTAAAATATTATAAAATGCTGCCTGAGGATGGATGTTAACAAGGGAAAAGGAAATAAAACACAAGTTTTTGCGACGTCGCAAACAGAGTTGTGTGATTGCCGACTTACACCGTCGATATGCTGATTTATTAATAAAAAAATTTGAAATGGAGGATCTCAAGGGTTAAGAAAACTTCTAAAAATTAGTATCCTACAAATGAACAGAATGAACTTGTTATGTTCTTGTATTATTTCAACCAGAGGTCATAGATCCTTCTTGCCTGGAAAGTCCCCTTTTTTTGTATCAACGCAGCTCATGAATTTTTAAGGATATAGATTGGTAAAGTCAAATCCACTTCCATGGAAGTCCACATTTTCTTGCAAAGAACTGGTTTTTTTCTCTCCCCCCACTCTTTTTCCAGACTTCCTGTCATGCTTTATTTTTTAAACGGAAAACTAGTCAACAGAAATTCTTTAAAACTGCCGTGATTTTTCTTCTCTGTGCAAAGAAAATTCTGCAAAAAATTTAAGGAATGATGTCAATTTCTTCTCCTTTAAGAAAATAACAAAGAGGCAGAGATTTTCAGACACCGCAGAGGAGATATGTGATTGCGGACTTACGCCGTCGATATTCATTTCCTCTTACCCCAAATAGGTTTGGGGTGGCCAACTTCAAAAACACTGGCTAAGAAATTAAGTAAATTCCATTGATTGAATCACTTGAGAAAAAATAAAACCTTAAAAATTAATTACTCGATTACGATCCTCAAAAGAATGCTGAACTCTATGAAAATGCCACATGATGATTTTTTTTTATCAACTCATCGAAGTTGGAATTTACTCCTCAATATTCCTCAGTCCGTAAGGACAATTCACACACTACGCCAAAATAAACTTCTACTCACTTTTGTTCAGCTACAGAAAAGGAAGTACCCACAATTGGGTTGCTGTTTGCTTGGCCTAAAGGTTCTTTCCTCCTGTGTTCGCGAGGAAGGGACAAAGAGGATGTAAGCCCTCGTTTGTTTACCCGATCAGCCGCATCAATCCACCTAAAGCCACTGTGGAAGAATAAGAAAAAGTATTGAAGTAATGAAGAAAATATTTTGCCAGCTTAAAAATTCTACATTCTTAGAAAACTTACTGAGAGATACTGAAAAGGTACCAGCATTTTGATCAAGAAATCTCTTCAGAAATTGCATGGCATATTAACAACCTCCTTGAATACATTACTACCTTCTTTGAGCTGTAAGTTTCTTTTCAAATCTTTAAATTGTGAGAGAATATTACAAGACCGATTGTCTTTTAGAAGGATGAGGAAGTCCTTTACCTAATTTTCCTTATGTTCTGTTGTATGGACTCCCAAAGTGAGCCATATGGAAGATTTTCCCATTATGTGACATACATTTTTGATTAATTTCACAAATGAAAAGTACTTTTTTGATAGGGAATTTTTCCTAAATTGCCACAAGATGTTTAAGCAGAGTTACTTCAGCAAAAATAAAAATAGAATCAACGGCTTTGAGTACCTACCACAATTTTTAAGGGACTCTCAAAACTTTTCAAAGATGTTAAAAAAATATAATTTCTTGTAAAAATCTTCTGAACAAGTTGATGCGCAATGCATGGCACTTAAAATCACATAAGAATGAGCTAAGGTGCAGTAAAATATGTAAGCGCTGAATGCAACTCAAAGACTGCTGTTAGTTTTTAATTAGACCCTACATTCCAAAGTCCCAAGACCTTCATTAACTTTCATACCTTTTTTTACATAGCGAGTACCTACAGTGGAAATCGGATACAACGACACTCTAGGGACCGGCCTGATTTGGTCGTTATATCCGTTTGTCGTTATAACCGATGCACAATACACTGCGTCAATGGGAAGTCAATCACGGGTACGACCAGATCGGACGTCGTTATGGCCGATATGTTGTTATAAGCGATGTTATTATAAGGATGTTGTAATATCCGATTTCCACTATAGTTTCAAGAAATTTGTTTGAATAAAAATCAAATTTCAAGATCACAGGAACCTTAAATGGGCTCATAAGAAAGAATTTTGATAGTCACCTGGAATCACTAGAAAATTGCATAGAGAGCCTATTGGATCCATCTCGGGCAAAGGGCGTATGTAGACGCTGCGGTTGAGGCTGAACAGGATTCGGTTGATATGTATCCCAGTCATTATTTCCATGAAAATTATTGGTGAGACACTGGGTGAAATGGGTTTGTAACTGTTGGACATGAGGACGTGGAGTACTGTTCTGATACCTATTCCATTCACCATGGCCATTGCTTAACCGATCCACCTATAAAGAGGTTTCCAGCATTATTCTCGTTGATGTACTTTACTTAGAGAAGAGAATGGTATTCTTCTTTTCAAGAGGAATAAACGTTTTGAAATAATACTTCAAAGCTTTGTGATAAATTCAGGGTTGTTTGTATACATTCTACTAGTTAACCACAACAATTGAACCCTTAGCTTGAGTAACAGGTATCAAACTCAATCAGATTTTCTTTGCTCAATATCAGGGTAGATACTTGCCAAATCAAATCTAAATTTTAATAAATTCTCACCTAGATTACTGATTACACGTTTGTAACTTGTTTAAAAAACAATTTGAAGTAGTTATACGCAATATCATGAGGCACAAGTAAAACCTAGAATTGAAAAATTAGAGCATTTGTTCATAAAAAAGACTTCCCTTTTGTTTTGTTTTTTTGCAGTAACTCTTAATACTAGCCGATAATGCACTAAATTTGTCCATTTTCTAATCTTACAAATGCACTGGCAGACGACATGCAAGCAAACAGAGAGCTAAAATTCAAACTGAACTCATGCGAGTTGAATAACTTTCAGAATAATGAGAAAGCGATAAATTCTGGACCTCAGGAAAAATTTCAAAACAATTTCAAGACTTTTAAACTTTTATTCTTCGGCAAAACTAAAAATTAAAAGTACCCAGAATTTTTTTTCTTCTGATCCATTGACAACCTGATATTCAGATCCCTGAGACAGTCAAATTATTTATTATCTTAGAAACTAACAACTGGACTACATTTTCCAATTAGGAGCCACTAATCCTCGCTTATCCACAAAAGTACCTAATAGTTCAAAGAAACTAAGAGAACCAGAAACAGTGGTCCTTCATTGCAAAAATTAGTCCAATGGATGTAGAGATAAATACCTTGTCTGAGGTGGGTGGCTCGATGATGAGAGGGGCTGCTGACCACCGTTTATTCTGATCACAGATCATAGGATGGGGACCTCCTGCACTATAGCAATTGCTCATGCCTGCATCAGCATGCAATGCTGAATTAGCTAACAGCAAATTCAGTGCCGGCTCACTACCCCGTCGTACCTGAAGTGAGACAGGTACTCCGCCCGCTATCTGCTCATTGGTAACCTGAAATCATTACCAAAAAAATTAGAATTAAAAGAAATACAATTGCGTCGTGAATCAGAACCATGAAAGAATATTACAAGAGATTAAAGATTAAGAAAAAATTAAAGAACCAACATGAGTAGAAACGAAAGGAGGGGGGAGGGTCCTGGAATTTTCAAAACTTCCCGGCGAAATGATGACACCTTTTACTTTAGTAGTGAAGCGCTCATAGATACAAAAACTTAGGTAGATTCCAACATAATAATTTCGGCTCACTCCAAGGAACTCACACCAAGGGATTGAGAATATACGTACAGATGCATGGAAATCTTCAAGTTTTATCTTATACGTTCCTAAGCAAAGGTGTACTGCTCAGGACGTTGCCAAATTCTTCCTCATAAAAGTATATTTTCTGGAAAGCTTGAGAATATTTTCCTTTGAATTTTTCGGATGATTCAACTCACACTTTGACCAAGCTTGTCTGCATGAATTCCGAAGATAAATACCTATGGTAGTTCTCAGAGATTAGCACTTTATCGTCTGATATTTTGCAACATTCGAGTGCCCATACTAAGGCAATATCCCTTGTCACAGAAGTGTAATATTTGCGGACCTCCATGACGTCACTGAGGGACCACATTCGGCAACACTGCCCAGAGCTTTATTTGTCAAATGAGCCAGTCCATGTTACAACCGAACAAGTCCATCGACTGATAGGTTCTAGGGTACGGGCATTCTTAGAGAGCTCAGGGTTTATCATAAAATTGGCTTGTTAAGTTTCAACATCGACTGATTCAAATACGGACGCCGCGCCGGTTGCTCGGAAATCACCTAACAAGCATTCGCGTCGCTTCGCGCGGTCGGTGGACCATCGAGGCTGCGTTATACCGGCAAGGTCTGCCGCACACTCTCCTCTCTCCAATTTATGCTGCATCTCACATGAACTCGATATTAACGTCTACTGTCTTTTCTGCTCTGTTTGCGGCCGAACGTCAAAAAAAAGGAGGGAAAAACCTGAGAAAAAAGAGGGGAGAAAAAAAGGGGAGAGTATAGACGCGTCTAGGAATGAAAGTTCCTCAGTAAAGTCAAGTGCTGAGAATGGGGAGAGTTCCCGGCATCATCGGGAAAGTTTCCGGAAATTTCGGAAAGTTTCCGGATTTATCGGGAAAGTCCGGAAATTTCCGGTCGCTCTTCAAAATTTGAGAGATTACCTATGTAAATGCATATCGACGTTAAGACTGCAAAAACGCGTACCTCGATTGCGGACTTTAAAAATCTCCGCTCCTGTTTGATTTTTTCAAAAGAGACTGAGCCAAGATCATTGCTCACCATTCTCACAGAAAAATGATCACACCGTGAAGAAAAATCACCTAAGTTATCAAGAAATGACGTTGAACAGTACCTAGTTCGTTGTTTCCCGGACGAAGAAACGTAGCTCCATTCTAAAATTGTAAAACTGACGTAAAAAATTGAATTTTTTACGGGAATGCACCTGTACAATCTATGTTCAAAATTTTTGCATAAAATCAGAGGAGAAATCAGTGAAATTTTCAGTTAGAAATGCCGCAGATTCTCCTCGTAAACTGCAATTTGACACGAGAAATTTGGCAACATCGAAATTGAGTTACGTTCTTTCGTGAGGGAAACGAGGAGTTGTCCCTTTAAAATGTAGAGTGGGTATAACAGGAAGTCTGCAATGTCGCAAGCCGAGATACGCATCCCTCCAGTTTTACAGTCGTTGTGTGGGTGTTTTTCTGTCAGTTCCCCGGGAAAGAATACTTTACCCGGGAATTCTTGGGAAAAATTGCCATTCCCAAAGACAGAAAAGTTCCCACTCAGCACTCTCGATATACTGGGGTCCAATTCCCTGGTAAAAATTGGCAGTAGAATCTGCGTTCCAAAATACCATAGACCTACAGCCGGCTGTAAGATTTCCAATAGCTTCTATAGCCGGCTGTAAGATTTCCAATAGCTTCTATAGCCGGCTGTAAGATTTCCAATAGCTTCTATAGCCGGCTACACAATTTCTTATAGCCTTTTATAGCCGATGGCGATTAAGCAACAGCCAGGCGATAAAGTGTATGCTAAGCATAATTACTACTACATAAATACAACTACAACTACATAATTACAACTAATTACGGATGCTAGGAGGACTTATTGAGTTTTTGGAATACAGCTCTCTTTTTGGGCCGTAGTATCTTGAATTATTTTGCGAGGAAAGCTCCGTACTTTTGACGGATGCCTGCCATTCCTAATATGTTGGAGCGCCTTCAATTTCGTATGATACTGTGCAATACCTCTGGTGTAAAATAGTTGCTTCAAGCGCCGCGGTATGCTGCGGCGCGGCGCGGCGCGGCGGGCGGGCAGCCAGCGCTGAACGCGCATTGGCGCCTACAAACCTAACAGGGATACCTCACGCGTTGCGCAATGCGTGAAGTATCCTGTTAGGTTTGTAGGCGCCAGTGCGTCGCCGCTCCGCTTAGTGATAGGCTCTAATATTTAATCTGGCGGAGTCAGCGTTATTCAACTCATGATTTTGAAATGTTTGCACATCCTGTATGGATTATTCTCATTTTAATTGATGAAAAAAAAATATGTATTAACGGAAAATATAATGTGTGTTTTGTAAATATTAAGGTGATTCCGTACAGACTTAAGGATTTACAAAACACAAGAATTTCTACACAATTTCTTATAACCTTTTATAGCCGATGGCGAAAAAGCAACAGCCAGGCGATAAAGAGTAAAGCCCGGCGATAGGAACTATAGCCCGGCTGCATAATTTTTTATCGCTTCGTATAGCCCGGCCGTATGATTTTCTCCGCATTCTACAGCCAGCTATATGATTTTCTGTAGCCTTCTTTAGTCGGCTATAAGAATTCCTATGGTATTTTGAAACGCAGCTCTTATCGCCAATTTTTGCCAGGGTTCTGATCAGGGTTGCAATTTTTCTTGAAATTTCACGTGAAATTTTTCCTGAAATTTCAGAAATTTATGAAAGATATTGAAAAACATCGGTTCCTTTTCATGTTTCGCAAAATGCATAAATTGTGGCTTTCTTCTGTTTTTGAGCGTTTTCGTGCGGGTTGAATACTATAGCCCCTGAAAAATATGAAATATTTCACAGCCATATGAAATATTTCACAGCCTCGTGAAATCATAAAATATTTCACAGACATTTCCAATGTTTCATACGTTTCATGTCACGCGTGCAACCCTGATTCTAATTGGCTTATTATTAGTCATTTAAGGCCAAGAGGGGCTGATTACGGCTCAAAAATGGCGAAGTTCGCACACAATAATAATTTACACAAAAATAATTCATGCTGCTAAGTGGTCACCCAGTCTACCGGGCTCCCTAACCAGACCTAGAAAACGCCATTGAGCAGTACGAACTGCAAGACTGTGCATGGCATTCCTCAATGTAAAATGATTCAAATGCATTTCGCATCGTGGATTTTTTATTATGTATAAAATTTTCTCTTCATTTCGGTCTCTTTTATATGTGTAAGAAGAATTGTTACTTTAAGGCCACTGGATTCTCTTTCGATGAGAGAAACAGCTGCACGAAGATAGCAACACCTGATGGCGATAACCGTTGGTTTTAAATGTCCGTTTTTCGTTTGCTGAAAACATGCCCAAGCAAGCATGCAAAAAATTCCACGGGCGACTGTCTTGCCTTACATAAAATAAATGAGTCCATCATTTTTAGTAAAAGGTAAAGTTCGTCGATTCTTGACAACTCGAATGATTGGCAACAGCCTTTGGGAAGATCCTTAAAATTTTACGAAAAAACGTAGGATTTACTGACACTCGATGGTGAAACTCACAAGCCACGTATTTCGTGTCCGTTGTTTTGAAATCTCTGCTTCAATTTTATTTTTTTTAAATAAGAGGAAATCGACATAATTATTTAAAGTTTTCACAGAATTTTCCTCCCATAGAGAAGAAAAATCACGACGCTTTATAGTAATTGCCGTTGAGTAATTTTCCAATTAAAAGTAAAATGTGACGGGAAGTCTGCAAAGTCGCAAACCGAGATATGCGGTTTGGAAGTTTTACCATCGACAGCTTTTTTATCCAATCAGAGATCGAGCTTAACGCAAGTGACTTCTTGCGGTTTCTCGCGGTTTTTATGCAGATCAAGTCTAAGCTGGCTACTTTTTCGGCCAATCAGAGGTCGGGATTTACAGCGCTTGACTTTTGGAGGTTTCTCGCGGTTTTTATGCAGATTAAGTATAAGCTGGCTACTATTTCGGCCAATCAGAGGTCGAGATTTCAGCGCTTTACTTTTGGAGGTTTCTCGCGGCTTTTATGCAGATTAAGTGGATCGCTTTTAGCAAAAAGGAACCGACGCGATTACAGTGTTTTCAAAATCGTGCAAATTCTTCTTTTCTTTTAAAAATACTCAAAATATGTTCAGTATTAAAATTTGGAATTAAAAATTTTTTGGTGGAAAGCAAAAACTATTTATAATTCCGGGAGATATTTTTGATAATTGTAAAGAAGCAACATTTTTACAACATTGTAATCGCGCTAGTTCCTTTTTGCTAAATACAATCCAAGTCTAAGCTGGCTACTATTTCGGCCAATCGGAGTTCGAGTTTCAGCGCTGGACTATAAGCGGTTTCTCGCGGTTTGTATGCAGGTACGGTCATAGTAGGCCCTTAGGTGACGTCGATGCTAATGTGCACGCGAGGAGTCCGCGAGACGTTTCTTATTTGTCAACATTCTTAGCATTGGGCTTGGATTTTTCGTCGCAGCGTCGCGATATTCAAGATCTCCGGTAGAGTCAACAAATTTATTCAAGATCTTCGCCTGATGGCCATCGCTGCATCAAAGGTGAGCTTTGACGAGTCACGACGCGCGCTGCGCTGGCGCGCCACTGACCGAGAGAACAAACGCGAACGCCCACCGGAATGACGCGACGTGAGAGGCTACAGATCTGAATGAGGATGTTGCATGTGTGAGGAATTTGCAACTTGACCATTGGTTCGTATGTTAAAGTTCGCGAGAAACACGATGGTGCCACTGGTTTTCTCTGAAATCAACTCCGAAGCTCAAAAAAAGCTCTCAAGTTGAGGCCAAAATGGAGGGGATATCCCAACCTACCCTGAGAGTCCACCTCTACATCGAAACAAACTCTCCATGCAAGGATAGGGAGCAAATACATCAGCAGGGTTGCCGTGTTTTCAGTTTTAGAGTCCCCAAACAAAGTGGCAGCCCTGTCAATGTATTTACTCCCTATCTTTGCATGGAGAGTTTGTATTGATGTAAAGGTGGACTCTCAGGGTAGGGTGGGATATCCCCTCCATTTTGGCTTCAACTTAAGAGCTTTTTTTGAGCTTGGGAGTTGATTTGAGAAAAAAACCAGAAGCACCACCGTGTTTCTCGCGAACTTTTACAAATGAATCAACAGTCAAATCGCAAATTCCTCACATATGCAACATCTCTATTCTGTCGTGTTGAGGAAGAACGTCGTATGAACCTTCAGACTTTGACCAATTTCTTTTGATTAAATACGATTTTTCGGGGAAACTTGCATATACACTCCTCCCAATTTTTCAGAGAAATTATTTCTTGATTCAATCTAGTATCAGAAATTTCAAGGGAAAATATTCATAAAATTCCTCGAAAACGAATACTTTATTGAGGGAATTTGGTGACATCTGAAAGTTCATGCGGCATTTTTCCTTAGCATGGTGGAATTGGGACTATTCAGTTCACCCTTCATAATAGAGTAGATAATCATTCGGGAAGCTAATATAGGGGAACAGGTTTCTTGGGATAGTCCGTTTTATACAAGAGCATGATTTCTCTGAATTAAGTCAATGTTTCTCTCCTCTAAGGTGTTAATGGCTCAGATGTTAAAAACACCAAATGAACGTATCTACCGACCAACCATAAATACATCATTTTCGTGATCTACGACCCGTGATCGGTGCTATTTTCTTCGGAAAATATGCTAATAAAAATGGTGTAACGCTCTTACGTAATTTACGCGTATTACGCGTTACATAATCTACGAACAGCCCCTAGTACGATTAGGTGCGTTTCTGTTGAACTCCGTCCTCCATGTAGTCATTGGATCTGGAGTCCAGACTCTTGAAAAAATTGACAAGAAAAAATACTCTCGATTCAATCGGATTTGTGCTTGAATCAAAAGGAAATCCGCTTAAATTAAGAGACTTGGTTCTTGATTTAAGCTAGATTCTGATTGAATCAAGAGTACTTTTTCTTGTCGATGTTTTAAAGAGTCTGGACTCTAGATCCAATGTGTTTTTACTTTCTCGCTCCCCTAGGGTAGAGAGGAAGTACTGTCATCCTCCAAGAAAAAAAAACAAGTTGAAATTTCATCATTTCTGGACGTTTTAAGGTCCCAGGAGTCAAAACAACCATACTTGAAAAAATGTGTGTCCGTCCGTCCGACGTCCCCCAAATCTGTGCACAGCGATATCTCAGAATCTATCTGTTCGATTTCATTCAAAATTGGCACAGAACACCATATTTATGGTCTCCTTATGCACGTTAAACGATTTTGGGGTACGCTAAAATTTGGGAAGGGGGGGGGCTAGGGTAAAATTGGGTTAAAGGTCCTAGAGTACCTGTATAGGGAGAGTACCAACAGATCTGAAACTCCGAAAGTCCATCAGGCCTTCACCGATGCCTCCGCGAATAAAGTCAGGGCCCAGAAATGCAGCCATCCTATGAATCCCAATTATCCAGAGCGCTTTACTAATACAATTGTTACGAACCATCGTTTATATGAAGCACGTATTTGACTTACTTGTTGCATAAATTTACTCATTTTTGCGGAAGAACCCTCATTTATGTACATTCTTAGCCATCTTGGTTAGAATTGGAATGTGCAGACTGGCAGTTAAATTTTGTGCGTAAGAAGTTGGTTAGAAGGGTGGCTGCACTTTTGGGCCCTCAGGGCTCAGCCCTCCATGGACCGATCTGTCAGTACTTCCCTATACAGGTACTCTACGTCAAACAATTTTGGGGTACGCTAAAATTTGGGGGGGGGGCTAGGGTCAAATGGAGAATTTGCACGCAATTTTTTTATTGCTTCATCTGAAAGTGCCTAATGAGCTGAGTTCGCAATATTTTTCATAATTTTTTTCTGACATGGGAAATTGGAGAAAAATTGATTTAAAAGTGAGAAAATGTGCCGCCTTGTGACGTCATCTGGCGGCATTTCCCATTTAAACACATGTATTTTAGCAGAATCGGTTATTTTGTCATATCTCCTCTAATAATTGCTCAATTTATGAATCAAGGGTATCTTCGTGTTCAGTTCACTCAGAGGATTCCACTTAAACAGGAAATTCATCAAATTTCAGACCCTTGCAAATTCTCCATTGGGTTAAAGGTCCATTTTTTTTCCGGTGCTCTGTATTTCCTCGTGGAGAGTGGAGGATGTGGGTGACTCACCTCGATGTCCGTTTTGAGATTGTGAGGGTGATGGGGGTGGTGGGCGTGGAAGAGGTCGGGGCTCCCGGTGCCCTGCGAGCTGGCGGAGGCGCCGTCGCCGCCGTGGTGGAGGTGGACGTCTCCCTCGGGACCCTCGGCCCCGTCGCCGTCGGCGTCCTCGAACTTGGCGATGATCTGCTCCCGGTCGTCGGCCACGTCCCGCACCCGGTCGTCCGGGTCCAGGATCCCGCCGTCCGACTGCGACTCCAGGCTCTGCACCCCCACCCACGTGTCATTGCTCTGAAACAATCCAAATCACATACAAATCAATACGAATTTCCTTCGTAGATCCGCACAAAATATAGAGGTACACATTACAGCATATGGAAAAAAAAGGAGGTGTTTGCATCTTGAGGTTTGTTTACCCTGTGACGTAGGTCGGTACAACCTGGCCAGCGAAATCCGGAATTCGGAGTATGAAAAACGAACCATAATGTCCCATTTTTTTGCTTAAATCAACTCATGATATAATTTCAAGCACTTTTTATGGAATGACTTTTTTCCATAAATTACACCATTTCCGAGAAAATTGATGATAAAAGTCGCTGTACCGACGCACGTCATCAAAAAAATTCAAGATGCCCGAAATGCAAACACCTCATTTTTTTCTCTATGACATTGCAGTGGAAATCGGACACAACGACCCTCCAGAGACCGGGCTGATTTGGTCGTCCAGGGTGTCTACTAAAACAGACTGGCCAAAAATCAGTACTTTTTCCGTGCATTCCCGAGAAATTCAGTACCTCCTCAACGGAAAAATTCAGTTCTTTTTCAGTACCTCCATTTGACGAAATTCGAGAAAATTCAACATTTTGAGTTTCTCTCTCAAATTGCGACAAAAATGAAATATTCCGGACCTTCTAGCGGAATTTCCGCACTTTAACAGTACTTCCGGACCGCCCTTAAAAAATCAGTACACTGGGAAAAAAACACATTGGATCTAGAGTCCAGACTCTTAAAACATCGACAAGAAAAAATACTCTTGATTCAATCGGATTTTTGCTTAAATCAAGAACCAAGCCTCTTAATTTGAGCGGATTTCCTTTTAGCCCTGCATAGACGATCAAATTCCGAACCAATTCCGATCAAAGTGGACATGCTGATGACTGGTGGTCACCATCTACCATCAAATTTTGACGGGCCGCACTTTTTTGTTCACAGTAAGATCAGAACGGAGTGCCACCATTCATCATTTCCTGCCACAGGTAACATTTCTGCCAAGTTTTCATTTTAAAATGAAGCAAATTAATGAGTTTAAGACTGATGACTCCCGACACTTTGATGCTACTTTGATCGGAATTGGTTCGGGAATTTGATCGTCTATCGAGGCCTTTCGATTTAAGCAAAGATCTGATTGAATCAAGAGTATTTTTCTAGTCAATGTTTTCAAGAGTCTGGACTCTAGATCCAATGTGTGTTTTTGTTTCCAGTATACTATTTCCAGACTTTCCGGAAATTCCGGACTTGTAGACACCCTTTCGTTATATCCGATTGTCGTTATAACCTATGCACAAATACACCGAGTCAGTGGGAAGTCGATCAAGGGTACGATTAGATCGCACGTCGTTATGACCGATACGTCGTTATAAGCGATGTCGTAATCTCCGATTTCCACTGTATAAGAAAAAGTTACATCGTGGGAGCCAAAAATCCACCATTCTAGAGTACTTTATACAGGGTGTCCCAGGATGAAAAGCTAAAATGGACCTGGCAGAAATGGTAAAATAAGCGAGCCCTTCATACTGCCATTTTAAAATTTTCTTCCCATCGGTTGACCGAAAAACCTGACGACTAAAAAAAAGGAAGATAGAAAAAAAAAATAAATAAAAAAACCATGACATTTTATGGTAGCACTTTTTCGACTCGCGCGAAATTGCAGAAAGCAGGGAACTTTTTCGACCCCTGGACTTTGGCTAAAATTTGGGCGAAATCTGCCGTGATAGCGAAGAGAGCAGTAAGTGCATTTTTGTACGAGCCATGATTAGCACGTGCTTTTATGTGTCTCGAGGTTCATCCCAGCATGCACTTACTGCTCTCTTCGCTATCACGGCAGAAATGTCCACCACTAGAGATTCGAATACGTTAAAAGACACTCGGAAGCTTTCCGCGCTTTCCTCGCTATCCGCGAAGCTCCCCGACATCCTCTATGAAATTCCTGACTTTCCAAGTATTCCAAACGGCTGGAAACCCTCTTAGCCAGGGTATCTACTTAAACAGGCTGGCCAAAAATCAGTACTTTTCCAGTACATTCCCATGAAATTCAGTACCTTCTCAACAGAAAAACTCAGTACTTTTTCAATACCTTCAACTGTTAAATTCAAAAAATTTGATTTCCCGCTCAAATTGCGACGAAAATGAAAATAATTCTGGACTTTCTTGCAAAATTTCCGCACTTTTTCAATACTTCCGGACCGCCCTTGAAAAATTAGTACTATTTCCCTGACTTTCCGGAAATTCCGGACTTGTAGACACCCTGGACTTCCTCAGTGGCGTGGCGTGCTTTGCGATGTATCGAATGTTCTGCCACTTAAACCTATGGTTAAGAATCGATTATTAAGGTGTTCCCTGCGAACACCCTGTTTATCGATCCTTTTCCATAGGTTTAACTGGCATAAAAATCCATACATCGCAAAGCACGCCACGCCACTGGACTTCCTCTATGAAATAGAGATGTTGCATGTGTGAGGAATTTGCGATTTGACTGTTGATTCGTATGTAAAAGTTCGCAAGAAACACGATGGTGCCATTGGTTTTCTCTGAAATCAACTCCCAAGCTCAAAAAAGCTCTCAAGTTAAGGCAAAAATGGAGGGGATATCCCACCCTACCCTGAGAGTCCAGCTCTACATCAAGACAAACTCTCCATGCAAAGATAGGGAGCAAATACATCAGCAGGGTTGCAATGTTTTCAGTTTTGGAGTCCTCAAATAAATTGGCAGCCCTGTCAATGTATTTGCTCCCTATCTGTGCATGGAGAGTTTGTTTTGATGTAGATGTGGACTCTCAGGGTAGGGTGGGATATCCCCTCCATTTTGCCTCAACTTTGAGAGATTTTTTTGAGCTTGGGAGTTGATTTCAGAGAAAACTAGTAGCACCATCGTGTTTCTCACGAACTTTTACATTATAATCAACACTCAAATAGCAAATTCCTCACACACACACAACATCTCCATTGCGGTGTATGAATTGTTATGCCATTTAAACCTATGGTAAAGAATCGATTATTAAGGTGTTCGCTGTGAACACCCTGTTCATCGATCCTTTTCCATAGGTTTAAACGGCCTAACAATCCATACATCGCAAAGCACGCCACGCTACTGGACTTCCTCTATGAAATTCCTGACTTTCCAAGTATTCCAAGCTGGAAACCCCCTCGGCGGAAACTTTGAAGAGCAGGACTGTGCGGAACTTACATGGCCGACGACGATGACGTCATGAATGTGGTTGGCCCGCTGGGCCTCCTGGACCTGGTAGGTATGCCGCCAGCCGAAGATGTGGACCAGTTTGCTGGCCATTTCCCCGCACTTGGCGCTCATGCTCATGCCGCCTCCGCCTGCCAAGGCCGCCGCGCTTGCCTCGCGCTTTTCCGGCCCCCCGCCCCCGCCGGCCCCCAAGCCCAAGGCCCCCTCGCACTTTCCTTTCCATACCATATGTTCCGGTCTCTTTCCCGGCTCGGCGCCCACTGCGCCCAGTGCGCCCACTCGTCGCGTTAGGCCCGATGTCCCCGATCACCGTGACCCATCCGCCTTTTCCCGCCGGCACCGCACATGCTCCGCCAGATCATACCACTCAATTCGCTTTGGTGACGAGTATAGTGTTCGGTGTGGATTGATTCGAAAACTTGACCGAAAAACTTCAAAACTTGGTTGGAAAATTTGAGGTTCCTGATTCGATTAACCTCGAGTTAATTCAACTGATCGCGAGGCGAAGGTTTTAAGTTCGATGTGCCGATCACACAGTCTTCTTCTACGTTGAATCTTGTGTTGATTTGGAAACTAGACGGGGAAACTTGCAATCCTCGATTTGGTGCACTGAAGTCAACACGTAACTGAGCACTCGCGAGGCAAATGTTATAAGTTTCGGTCGAAAGAAGTCTTCAAAAAAACAAAAAACTAATGTCACGCACGAAAGGTTGAGATGGATCGGCTGCGATTATCACACAATCTGGGCTTGAATCTAAAGAATTGAAGAAATTTTTGATTTATCGATACGACAAGTTTTTCGTGGATAGTAGAGACAGCTTGGTAGTGGTTACCAGTACCAGGCTAGCTGCACACACTCGGTAGGAAATCTAGTAGCCCAGAGGCCCGATTATTGAAAAATGGACAAAGCTATAGACAAAGATGACAAAAAGGGATATGGAGGAAACCTATTGGTGGAAGCTGGTGGTTGCAATGGACAAAGGCAGTAGGTAATAGACTAACTAACGGCAACCCACGAGAGGCCCTTCAGTTAGTCCATCACTAGCTTCCTTAGTCTATGAGAAACACCCGTTTCAACCGATAGGAATGCTCCATACTCCCTAAGTCTTCTTTGTCTAGAGCTTTGTCTATCAGTTTCAACAATCAGCCCGCAGGATAGGGTGTAATGTTACTTATGCGTCTGGTAGATCTCCAGAAATTCCATTGGCCGGAGCTAAACTTCTGGTACTGACTACTTGATTTCCCGAACAGTGTATGCAACCGGCCAGTCTACAGAGCGTTGAAAGGCTCCATATCAGAATATCCTGATTTCCCCTCACTTTCCTACCCCAAAAGAAAACCCTGGTCAATGTTGGAAAAAGTCCTAGACGCCCCCGCGCGTCGNTTGAACACAGGTCCACATTTAGAGAAATTGTCAGTGATTATTCGTCCAGCTTGGAAATTCCTCACACGATTGAGATTTGCCAAACATTTACCTTTAATTACAAAGACAAGGCATGTATTTCTCTCATGTCACGCATAACAGCATTACGCGGTGCCTCCTGCTCATTTGTGCGATTACGCATCTGAATGAAAACAAAGAAATTCGGCTGCTGGAAGCCGTTCGAGAGAACGCCACTTTGCATGACAACACTGCTTTGTCATGGACCAAGAGAATAAATAAGGACCCCCAACTCCGGTTAGCGCTGACATCAGCGCTCCCTGGCAGAGGGTGTAGTGAACTAAACCGATGATTGGGCCTTCCTGTTTATATTTCCATGCACCACCTATTTAGGCTTATCACTCAGTAGTGCTCATAGAAGTTTCTAGATCCTCGTATCCTCGTGGTCGCCCTGCAGTTTTGAAGAGTTTAGTGTGAACAGTTTCCCATTTTCATTTCAATCTTCGTCAGTCTTAGTGTACATAAACTGGTATTAATGTGAAGTGTTATTTCTAACCGTTTTACTCAGCAGCAACTGCTGTTGAGAAAGCCAAAGGAAGTGTGTATGTAGTGTGCAGCAGGAATCAGGATTGTACTTTTAGCCGAAGGCGCCTCTCTGTTAAGTGAAATCTTTTTAGTGAGAAATAGTGTTGTACTGATAAAAATCAACTGAGTGCCACAAAATCAAAGATACTTGACTTCAAGCATTACCTTTAATTTGATTATTAGCAAGTCTCTTTGATTCTGCGTCAGAAGTTGACTGAATCATCTTTGCTCGTGTTTTGATAAGATACTTCAAATCAAAGTCTTTCGCATTGACCTCTGCAGAAGGTATGTATCTATACAATTTCATTAGTTTGCGAAAGTAAAATGTACTAAAGTATCTACACAAAGAAATAAATCATAGATAAACAAAGAACATAGCATGGAATAACATACTATAGAGGTACGATCGTGGACCGCTGTGGCGTTAGTTCACCGCACCCTCTGCCAGGTTCGCTGCGAGCGCGCGTTAACGGTTTTTAACACAGGTTAGCATAGGGAGTTGGGAGTCCTTATTTATTCTCTTGGTCCATGGCTTTGTCTCGAGAGAATTTGCATTTATCGTTAATTTATCGGGAATTACAGCGATATTTACGCACTCGCTGCTCCATGACAACTTACGTTTCATGCGATTAGGACGGATTCGGCCGCCGTTCGCGCGAATTCATTAAGTTCATTTAAATCCGATGAGTTGAGTATTTGAGAAAACTCGATTTCGCAAGTTGGGCAGCATTCCTGCCGTATTCTGCCGTGCTAAGGAAGAACGCCGTATGAACATTCGAGAGTTGCCAAATTTCCTTCGATAAAATGTTTATTTCTGAGGAAAATTATGAATATTTTTCCATTAAATTTTCATAAGTTTTAGATCGAATTACAAACAAAACTATCCGAGAAATTGGTAGGCAAGTATTCAAAAATTTTCCTGAAAATTAGTGATTTGCCGGGAGAAATTTGGCAACGCCTGAAGGTTCATACGGCGTTCTTCCTCAGCACGGTAGCATTCTGGGCCGCGGCGCGGCGCTCGTCAGCCCGGTGCGCGATCGGAATATATCGGATATCGGATATGCGAGAGCGTTGGAACGCATTTCACATCGCTGCTGCTGAATACAGGAACCGCGTAAGCACCGGTGGGGATCTGGTGTAGATACGCGGTTTTTGCTTCGGCACGGCAGAGCGCACTTATGGTCCCTCGGGGCCGGACGAAACCGCGTAAAAACCGATTGGCGTAGCGTGCGCATAGGCGGTCCTTGATTGGACGGCGGATCGTCGGTCGGAGGAGAAAGTGGCGCGGCGGTCGCGTATGTCTGCCAGCAGCGGCCGGTGCGCCGCGCCGCGCCGCGCCGCGCGTCAGTGCGGTTATCTACACTCTGCGACCGCGCAGACGCGGCCATTTCCACGCCGAATTTGGGGTGGCCCGGAAGAAAATTGTGAGGCGTCAGAAAAAACGTATCCTGAGCTGGGGAAAACCAAGAGCTATAACGATACCAAAACTTGCAGGGGTTGGACAGCTTATCGCCTCGGTTCATTTTAAATTCCTCACAGAACATTTTTACTCTGGATGAAACGTATTTTCGTTGATTTAATGGACTCTCGATACTTCGAACCTCGATAATTCGAAAACCTCGTTAATTCGAAGGAAAGTCTGTTTCCCTTGAAAATCTCTCGATAGTTCGAAGAAATATATATAGATAGTTCGGAACCAAGGGTATCACAATTCACTACCGCGGTGGATGACGTCATTAAACGAGTTTTTCAAAACGCAGTAAGTTGGTTAATTTTGAACGTAGAAAGTTGCTCTTTGGACAGATTTTGGCTAATTTACAAGAATCAAACATTAAAACACGATTCTCCGACAAGCGCAACTGACGCATTCCCGGTTTTCCGGTTCTCTAGCCCTACTTATACACCCTACACCGCGTCGGTACAGTATTTTTGGGCGCCCGCCTGATTTAGAGTACCTGTATAGCGAGAGTATGGACAGATCGCTTCATGGAGGGCTTAGGGCCCAAAAGTGCAGCCATCCCTCTAACCAACTTCTAACGCACACAATTTCACTGCCAGTCTGCTGATTCCAATGCTAACCAAGATATCTAAGGATGTACATAAATGAGCGTTCTTCCGCAAAAATGAGTAAATTTAAGCAAAAACTGAGTCAAGTACGTGCTTTGTAAACAATGGTTCGTAACAATTATGTATTAGGCCTTGTCTCCACGAGCCGTTTCACGAGATTTGTCCCAGGGAAAAATCCCACTTACGAAGTTGGGAAAAATATTGGGTTAATCAATATTTTTCCCAGCACCAAGTATGGTACTTGTATCCCTGGGACCCACTGAGAGAAGAAGAAGAAGAAGTGAAAACGAATTGTGCGATATTTTATTCATTACTGCATTGTTCATGTTTGTTTAGTTAAAATAATGTGTCTAATTGTCAATTGAGTGCAATTATTATTTTAATCCCGGTTAAATACTCGACTATAACTAATTTATCTTCCCGCGCAAACTAGTCGCAGGACTGTATAAGCCCCGTCCCGTGCGGAGACGGTAACTGGGAAAAGTACCAGAAGATTCATTCCTGCGATTCGAACTTGGGACAAATCCCATGAAAACGTCCCGTGGAGACAAGGCCTTAGTAAATCGCTCTGGATAATCGAAATTCATGGATTGGCTGCATTCCTGGGCCCTAACTTTATTCGCAGGAGCATCGGTGAAGGCCTGATGGATTTTCGGGGTTTCACATCCGTCTATACTCTCGCTATACAGGTACTCTAGCCTGATTTTGGAGCTCCTGGCACGGAGAGATAGCTCTTGACGTTAATGACGTGCAAGTGCCGCGGCTGGAACGATCCGAGACAATTTTCTGATGAGGACGGCCGTTGCTCCCGCACTCTCTACCATCTTCCGCTCCCGATGGTTTTCCTTTCACTCTGCCTCCGGCCGCCGCCGCCACCGCGCCGCTTCCTGGCTCTTTCACATACAGCGCGGCCACGTTTACCGCCCAATTCCCCGCCGGATAATTCCCATTTTTAGACAGACTCGAGAGAAAGGTACCCCGTCCGAATTCACGTGACTTTCTTCCGACGTCAACTAGGACGAGTGCTCCGAGTGTGACGTCAGGCACTCAAACACGATGGGCACCTTCACCGAGCGGCCGAAATAGAATTTCCCAGGGGTAGAGTACCTATATTAAGAGAGTATGGCCACTGGTGTTACCACCTCTGATTGGCTCAGCCATCTTAGGCTGAATGGAGCCCTTAGGACCCAAAAATGACGGACGCCATAAATTAATGTGATGCAAAATGACTCAAAATGTAGTTTTCTTTGCTTATCGTAACGAGAAATTTACCCAAATACACTATTGCGACTTTTCTACATATTTTTAAGGCTACTCGTGTGCAATTTTTGAGAAAAATTATCTTAGATGTCGTAAGGTTGGCGGCAAGTGCGGTTGGTGATAACCGTCAAAAGTTGGCAATGACCCCCCCCCCTCCCATCCACAAAAACCAAAACAAAGCACCGCCATTTTTGGGTCCTAAGCCTCTCCATGGGGCCCAGTGGCCATACTCTCTCAATATAGATACTCTACCCAGGGGTGCGGAAAATGGGTCCGTTGCTCTGGTCGCAGAATCGTGTTTTGATGCTTGATTCTTGTAGATCACCTGAAAATAAAAATATGTGTCGAAACAGCAACTTTATAAGTTCAATATTAACCGAGATATTGCCCCTTGAAAACTCGAGTTTTTGACGTCATCTACCGCGGTAGTGACATCCTTGGTTTCTTCCACCTTGCTTTCG